GCAGTATTATCACTAATTTTAAATTAACTTTGTAATTTCATAATTTCTATGAAATTACACAAGAAGGAAATAGTGTAGTTGAGCCAGACAGGTTTATCACACAAAATGAATAACACACAGTTTTTGGAAAAGAAAATTTTATTTTTACTTATTTTTTCTCCTTACCGTTCTCTCTTTCTAATTTCACTTTCAGATACTGTACTGTGATAGCATTTCCAGATACTGTACTGTGATAGCACTTTCAGATACTGTACTGCGATACTACAGCTAATACATCAAAATTTTTTTTAAAATTAAAAGAAAAATCCAGTCTTTACTTATTTTTGAAATTTGAATTTTTACTTCATATTTTTTATATTCTTTAAAATTCTAGCAAATTTAAATATCCAAAAATTGAATAAATTAATAGAATTTATAATGGAATATATGCTTGAAAGAAAAACAAGTTATATTAAATTGTTTGTGATTGATGATATCAATTTGATTAATTGATAATTGTTGATCTCATAAATTAATCGCAATCATTGTTTCTAGATTCATTGTCAAATTTTTTTGCAGAAATCTTCTATCAACAAAATTTTTCATATTAAATTGTCAAATTAATTAAAATTTTTATCAGTTAATATCAATGAAAAGCCTTTTATTGCAGTTGCAATAATGGTTTATGCTAATTTCTCATGAGCTCCTTTTAATTACTTCAATTAATTTTTTCATTTTAACTTCAGCATGTTAAGGGTTCATCTATCTGCAATAATATTATTTATAATAGAATGTGTTAGTTGACGAAAACCTTATCTAATATAACTGCTTGATTAGCTTCTTCCCATCGATCCATCAACGATTATTCTTCAAACAAATCATATGATTCCATCAGTTGTTAATTGCCAGCAAAATGGAAAAACATACAAAGAGGTGAAAGAGAAATGAATTGAAATTTTCATGAAACAAAATTTGATAAGCTTTTTAGGAATTTATTTTTAGGAATATGAAAATTTTCAGTAATATTTACTTTTGGTATCTTTTAATTGATTATTAAAATTTAAATTTTAGGATGAAAATTGATTTACGGTATATCTTTTATAGAAATGTATGAAATTTTCTGCTTATACTATAATTGATAAGCATTGCGACATCAGAAATTTTCGCGAATATTTTCAAGAAATTTAAATAAAATTTGCACAATTAACATTGAGGAAAAATGTATCCAAAAAACATTAAATTCATTTGTAGATTAGAAAAGATAGCATATGCATCATATCAAAAAGCCAATTTTTCCGGATTTCCGGATTACCCCATTTTCCAACAATTGAGGAAACTTTTTTAGATAGCTAATTAAGCTCAAATGAAAAGAATCAAAAAATTGGAATTTTAAGATAAAAAAAATTCGAAATCTAAATATTACTAACATTGTTTTTCTATCTATCGAGGCAAGCTGGAAAATTTTCAGGTTGTCTTACAAGAAAATGTCAATTAATAATTATTGATGAAACATATATTGATGATTTTATCGCTCATCGGTGCTTCGAGGATAATTCCAAAATATCCTAACGATCATGTCATCGCGTTATCTTCGGACAACGATCATGTCGTTCATTTGAACAAGAAACCATAAACAGTCTTGTTTATCTTACTAATTGTAATAAAACATCTCCCATTATTAAATTCTACTTTTTTTAAATCAAGTTTTGCTCCTTTTAAATTGAACTTTGCTTTTTTCAAATTAAACTTTGCACTTTTTAACCTTTCTTTTAGATTTGACATTTTGAAAATCGTATAATGTTATGAAAATGATATTATTGATACAAACAAATAATGAACCAATGAAGAAACGAAATTACTTTTTCATTCAACAAAATATTGCAAATATTTAAGCAAATTCCGGTCATGCAAAAGTTACGTTGCAGAATTCATCAAAAATAGCATTGGTCACTTTATTCAATCATATCAATCAAACAGGTGATTATTCATCGGTAACTATTTTCAGCAATATGCTTGTCACGATTTGCAGTCATGATACTGTTGTTGTAATTACATAACTGTAAATTATTATTACTATAACAATAAATAAATTCACTATCATTAAGTAATAATGATGAAAAGAACTAACAACAACAATGGTGATTAGTAATTAATAATTACAAATGCTAATAGTGGCGGCAATAATGATAGTAAATAACGATAACAACAGTAGTAACTTAGGGAAGCTAAAAAGTTATTTGAAAAAAAAATAAAGTGCACTTTTTTCATAGTCATAACAATAAAACAAAAGTTTAAAGCTTTCCAAAATCGTAGATGAAAATTTCAAAATTAAGTGATTTAAATGATGCCCATAATCTATGAAATTAATTAAAATCAGCAATGAGACTAGAATTTTCATGCCGACATTTCATTTGAGAGTCGTTAAATTCCATTATTTCGTTACTTCGGTTTTGAGTTTGATAATTTTAAAGTGAAGCTTCGCAAATTAGCAGTAGTTCTTCCTGCAAGAGGATCTTGTATTTATCTTCTAGCTTTCACATAGTTATGTCTTTTTCCAAATTCAAACTCTTCGCTATTTACAACATTCTCAGTTACTGTTATCACTGCTGCTTTTTTATAATTAACACGGAAGTTTGTATTGTCTAAAAAATGTAATTTTCTTTGGTAAAATTCATTTCCCTTACTCGCAAATGCAAGAAAACTGCATTTCATCTTATTTTTACACTTTTCAGGAATTCTTGCCATATTTCTAAGGGGACGACAGATATCTTCTTTTACTTTTTTAGATTTGATGAATGATATATCTTACAGTTTTGAGCGGTAAGGTCTGCCTGCAGTTTTGGCCGGTACTGCTTATGGAGATTTTTGATCATTGCCATGAAATCATTGTTTGTTTATGACTAGTGAAGCCTAGAACCGATAATTTCACATGGTTTAGAAAACAAACATAAAGATAGAAAAAGTCAGAATTGGTAAGGGTTGCTTCTTTTTTACACTTTACTGGAGGTACAATTGTGCTCAATGTCAAACGCTATTATCTGTCCTCAAATTTGAACAATATTGTTTATTTTTGTAATTCGGAATTTTAGCATGAATCGGAGGGATGATTGTATCAGGTGTCTTACTGTTGCTTTTGCATGTCATATACTATTTGTTGATGCGGTTTTTCAAATATAACCTGTTTTTCAATTCAATTCAGGTTAAAAATGTTACCCGGTTCAAACGGTTTGCAGCTTATCTCACAACGGGTTTTGCAAATTGCAGCACGAACGATGTATGACAATCCGTATATAAAAACGTTTAAACCTAAAAAGCCTCCCTCACCAACTTTTCATAAGCAGGTATGCTTTAGGATGGAAATGAGTTAAAAAGATAAGAGTGAACAGGAAAATGTGCGGTTTCTGTGATCATCTTACCCTTTCAATTCATTTTGCATTTTGTTTCTGTTTTCTATCTGATTTCAAATTGCAGCTAGTTTCCTTAGACTAGAATAATAAATATCTGGAAATGACATTGTTAAGTATTGGTGCAAAGATAGAAAAAGTTAGAATTGGTAAGGGTTGTTTCTTTTTCACACTTTACTGCGATATAATTATGCTCAATCTTGAACGTTGTTGCCTGTCCTCAAATTATTAACGAAATTCAGTTACGCAAGATAGAAGTTCCATTCTCTTGGAACATGTAGAAAGGTTTTATCACTGTTTTTGTTTTCGTAATTTACATAAACTATGAATTAATCAGATTTTCAAACTCATACTGACTTTCTTACAGTTATTTCTATATCTGCATCTTGAAAAGGTTTTTGTTTTTATTTTTCTCTTTCCGCCCTTTCTGCTTTATTGTGGTTTTCATTTTTTGCATAATTTATTGTTGTAGACAACCGGATTAACTGGCTTATTCGTTGATGAATATGCACATCAAAATTTGTTGAAAGAATATAGGCGATTAATGAAAATTTTGGAGCAGATACCTTTACATTCGTCATATCGGAAATATACGGAACAACTTGTAAAAAAGAGAATGGCATTGGTGCAAGAGGTTAACATTTATTCGTTTGAACAATTTTAATCGTGTGATAAGCCAAAATGCACAAGAACTCGTATTAGTTCAGGCGGTTTGTCATTTGAATCTGTTTCAGGAACCAGATATTCAGAAACTGGAAGAAAAAATTGGTATGGGACAGATTGAAGAAGTTATCCTGCAGGTATTTTTATTTATGAGGTGGAAAGAGTGTCGATGGTCGGAGATTATGTCCAGTTTTGGAAAAACTCAAAAACGAAAGCAGAAACTTTGATTTCCAGTACTGCAGTCTGTAGTTCAATAAAGGATAAAATTATTTGCTCGACTAAATGCGCTAAATTTAAAGCACATTTAACGAATAAAGAAAAAAAAAATAAACACTATATATTCTGGACAGATTTTGAAGGTCTCATCAACTTAGAAAATTATAATTATCTGGAAGAAGCAATTAATTTGTTTACAGGCAAAGTATGAGATATTAGCAGCAAAGGAAATTTTGAAAAGTCAAGCCTGGGAACCTTTAGTGGAAAAGGCTCCTGAAGGTCAATGGAATTGGCCGGTTGCATAATCTGTGAAATTAGTGTGATTGTAAAGCTTTTCCATTTTTATAATAATATGAAGTAGTACTTTTGAAAATTCTGTAAATAAAGCATTATTTTTATTTGGATGCACTGCCTCTTCAGTTCATGGTCCTGAAATCTTATACATCTCAGTTCGGATAATCTATTCTCATATCATAATTTCGATATTTTATCATTTTTATGTTTTGGTTTATTTTTCGGGTTTTCCCGATGGAACTTTATAGAATACAGTTGCATTCCCATATGAACCCTTAAAGTGACTGTTCACTTAGTATTTTGAATGTTTTTTAAATAACTTAGATTAATTTAATAGAATTACTTCTGATTTGAGTCTTTAAAATTCTTCACAAAGTCAGCGAAGTTATTCTGTTCTCATCTCTATACTCAAAGTTATTTTCAGCAATTTGAGGAGTTTCTTGAATGGACTTGCCGGATCCATATTTACCTGGCGCTTTAAGCCTGTTGGAACAGCTCGACAAGAAACTTTTGGTAGTCCTTCGTGATGGGCGCACATTGATTGGCTATTTAAGGTATTTTCTATCGCAGTCACATTTCAAAAAGAACCATCATTGGCTTGTTGGAATTTCTAGATATAGGTAGGTATTTAGGAAGGTTTGGACGAGATTCTGCAAGCTTGGAATTTAGGTCTGAAAATTTCTACGTTCATTGGGGGCAGTTTAAAACAACTGCAAGATGTCATTTAAATGTTTTATTTCAGGACAATTGATCAGTTTGCGAATTTGGTACTTCACGAAACTTTGGAAAGGATCCATGTTGACAAATACTATGGTGATATACAGCGTGGAGTATTTTTAATTAGAGGTGAAAATGTTGTTCTGGCAGGTGAAATTGATGAAACGAAGGAGCAATCTTCAGGCATGTTAAATAACTTCTTTTTCAAAAAGTTGCCATCTATTTGTTTGCTGTTGTTCATAATATATTAAAAAATAAATTGAGGAATTAAGGAAATTGCAATTATTTTCACGCTTTCAATATAAAGCAGTGCTTCCATAATTTTTCCAGTTTAGACGATGAGAGACTTCTTTAATATTATCTTGTACTTCCCATCGAATCTAAAACAATTCTTGTGATCAATTCTCATTACCATCATTGTATATATTCAGCATAACAAATTATTGTTTCATTTTTTGCTTTTTAGATCTTATTCCCATTTCTGCAAAAGAGATCCTTTCGTTGCAACGAGAAAAAATAGAGGAAAAGGAACGATTCGAGGAAACTAGAAATAAAATAATGAAAGGACGCGGTCATCGTGCAAAACCTGTCGTCGATGTTTTTAATGATGAATCATGATTCTTCAGTTTGGTTTTGTGGTAGTTATTTGTATTTATATTGCTGAAGGATTTATGTCATGTATTTTGTCTATACAATCAGCAAGACATTTTTAATATCACTGAAATGGTTTGGATAAGGTTTATTCAGACCTTGCAGTTTGTATTGCAGCCTTCTGTTCAAAGCTCACCAATTCCACCAGTTATACAAATTTTTTTTTTCAAACGGTAATCACGTTCTTCATCTCAGATTTCGTGAAACATAAAATCCATGTGTTGATGATAAAAAGAGCATAATATATGTGCAAAATTTGAAATGGGTTTCTTTTTTGACATATTTTGTATTACACTTATTCTTAAATTAATTTATCGCATATCAGCGATATTTCCAATAACCGTTTTTGCGATATGAGGACAAAGAAGAACATGAGAAATACTTTCTTCGATTCTGAATTTAGTTCATGTTTCGAATTTGACTTTCAAACTTTTTTTAATGTGGTATTTATTGATTGCGGACTAAATTGTATGATGCGACATTCATAAATAGACTTCTTTTTCGATTGTTTGATTTTTAAATGTGAAAGCATAGCGCGCATTATATTGACTATTTGGGAGAGGATACAAGGTCATAAGTGCATTTATTATGGATACTTTCATCCCAACAAATTTGTTGTACATTTCCAATTATTCGTATTTATCAATATTCATCGTATAAATTATTGTAAATAGGGAGCAATGTACCTTAAAAATTTTCGTATAAAGAAATTTGGTCTATATTATATGCCTTATCCGTAATCAGCTTTTTCGGATTTTCTTTTCAGTCAGTTTTTTCATTATTAAATACTTTTCATACTGATATCAAAAAAAAAGAAAAATAGATAAAGTAATGGTTTTTTTGTTTACTTTCTTAACTGACTGACATATTTTATAACATATTCTGATATGTGGAATACTAAATTGAAGGTTTTTTCAGTGCAGACATTTCCTAATATGTTTCATGAGAGAAAGAAATAAGTGCTTATATGTTGCGACAGCTATTTGAAATTTTGCATGCTTTCTGAAATCGTTATAGAATCGTTTTCCAAAATTTCATAGGATATTAAACTTGTAATTTCTGAAGTAACAGTTGCCATTCTTCCTCTGTGTCCTGTCTTGTTTTTGTCGTTTCTTTATGGGAAACTAAATCTTTGTAAAATCAATATTTAATATAGTATAGTTGAAGGAAGAAGTCGCAATAAATCGGAATTGTTTACGAAATAGGATTTCATTTTACAGGTGATTCCGCTTTATTTCCCCATGAAACTCTTATTTATCATTAATTTTTTTATTTCTAAACAATTTCAAAATATTAAAGCATTGTTTTCATAGGAGACTATTTTCTTTTTCCTTCACAATTCCAATAATGAATTCCAAAATGTTTGAAATTTCTTATATCTGATTTAATGCTTACATCTTTAATTTGTTTTCAAGAAATCAGATAATAATTCCAACTTATTACCACAACTCATAAAGACGGGAAGAATTTAGTTAATTACAAGGCTAAATGATATATAATGAGATAATGTTGAACTATTATCTATCCTTTTTTTTCATTTAGGATATCTCGTAGTTTTATTTAAGGTAATATACTGTATAAGAATTCTTTTTCCACTTCAAATCATAAAAGATATTTTACAAATTTATCAATTATCATTGTTTTGTAGAGTTAAGAATTGTTTGAATTGGTAAAAATGGTAATGTTTTGTTTTATTTGATAGAATTTTTCTTCTATTTATAGTTATAATTAGAAAGGCAAATAAGTTTGTTAATCTTTTATCATGTTGCATATTTAAAGTTAGAAAATTACAAATCATGAATAGAGCAAAAAGTCGCTGGAGTAAACTTGACAAGTTTGCAAAAAATAATCGAACTTCAAATTTAGACTTGGGAAATTATAAATTCAAACCTAAAAAAATAGAGCTTTTACAGAAGCATCGATTAATTTTCAACATTACATTAGCTTCACTTTAACAATTTTAAATTTATAATTTATAGTAATACATATATTCATCATTCCGCTGATACATATTTAATGAATACAAATCTTTTCATTTCCTTTTATCTCTTTCTTTTCCTAAATTTACCATTGTCATTTCCGATTTTTCTCTAAACAATTTTCTTTCCTTTCGCATCTCTTTTATACTAATTTTTGTTGAAATATGAAAATTTTAGGCAATAATTAGCATGTAAAGTTATTTGTTTGCTGCAAAATAAGCGTAATTATTTAACTTTTCCAAAAAAACTTTCATCCAAAATTCATTTTTGCTAAGCTAATTTCTGAGCTAATTAACAAATTATCATTGCATTAATTTGCACAGCGACTTTTTCAATGTTTTTCTCTTAAAGGTTCAACTTGACACTTTGCAGGAAATGAAATGAAATGAAATGCTGGAAGTTGTTAGAAGATTACCATTCTACATTTAATAATAAACTTACTATGTTAGGCTTTTAAGGCTAATATTATTTAATCTTTGATCCTCCAATTTTTCAAAGTCTGTATTGCATCGATTTGCTAATTCTTGAAAGTCTATGTGCAATAAGGTTGTATCTTTTCTGTGACACTTCAAATAAGGTTAATAGTAAGGCTAAACTATAATTATTTTTAGTGATAATGTAAACATCTAAGTCGTTAAAAAATTTTATCGAATTTTTCTGTCGTAATTCTACGCAAATGATTCACAGTAATTATTTTTATAGAAAGTATTTCGATCTCCAGTAATACATACGATTTGTGTTATCATATGAAATTCTATGAATTGTATGAGTGATATCATTCTGATAACTATGCAGTAAGATCGAATCAAATGTTACTGAATTATAAATAAATAAAGCTTGTCGATCATAGTGGGAAAAAGATAAATTAGATATGGATCATCAGTGATAATTAAGTAAATCAAATCAATTATAGGAAAACCTAGACTAAATAGATCAATAATTTGTAAGAGGATAGATCAATAGACAAATTGAATATGTTCATAATCACATAGAAATGAATAGGTAAACTGAATCAAGGATAAAAATGAATAAGTAAACTGGATCAAGCATAATTATACGGGTAGAATACCCGAAATGATATCTCTTTTACGGGTAGAATACCTGAAATGATATCTCTTTCACAGGAATGATTATTTGAGTAATAATACGAATACGATTACAAGTAAAAACTATTCATTATTTCTGGTGTAAGAAAGAAGCAAGAAATCGATTAGATCCAAAATTATTTAATGAAGTGGAATCTAATAAATTAAAACCGATAAAATTATCACTGTTTGGTTTGTCTATAAATATTCCATCCTACTTCGTATTCCCTTATTATTATCACTATTCTTGGAATTAAGCGAAAAAAGAAGAACGAATTATGTCTATGCAAAAGCGTTCGTATTATTTGTATATCTCACTTTTCTCTTTTTCATATTGTTTATAATTATGTTTGTTTTGCTTTTTTGTTTTAGTACTAATTTTCTAAATAAGAAAAATGAAGAAATAAGAAAATTTTGAAGATTTGCAGTTTCAGTATACTGCAAAATTTAGATATAAGAAAGAATACGTGAATTTAATTAAACTTCTGCAATCCTGCTAAGGTTTGACACATCTAGAATATGGTAAATATAAATGATACAAACAACTCAGCAAGCTTACCGAACTTCTCTAACTTTGCAAAGTTAGAGAAGTTCGGTAAGCTGCGAACTCCTATAAATGGCCAAGTTAGGAACTCAAACAGCATGATAAATTATAAAGCGTTATATTTAATTATTATTTATTTTTTAACTTAATATGGTGATCGAATTTATTAAAAGCAGTGTTTCCATAATGAATATGATAATGATGAATATGGCTTATCATAATCATAATATGGTTGAATATGGCTTATCATCATAATAATGAATATGGCTTAGCAAGGATTGTTTATCTTGTTATAAGCCTGAAGATATGACATTTGTAAAGCGTTATTAATTCCACCTTTTATTCTTGCTTGCTTATTTACTTACTATCAAATGTTAAGTTGCAAATTAGCCTCTGTTTTGTTCTATTCCTAATTATTTAAAATGATTTATCAATTTGATTACTTTTTATCTGTAATTACTTAGTGATATTAATGATCACTTTCCAGAATACGATATTTTGATTTGCATCCTGGTGTATTCACTGCGTCATATATTCGTTCTTATTTGTATAATTGCAGTATTATGATTCACTGACATTTTTCATTTCTGGTTACAACATTTGGTCATAACTAATGCCAAATAATTTGTTTGCTTATATAATATAAATGAAAATTAACACGATATATTAGAAGGCACGGTTACATAATTACGATAATATGGAAGAAATGTTGACTTCTTTGTTTTGTCTAATTCTACTATCATATTTATGTTTGCCTTTATTCTCATGTATATTTTCACTTCTTCGTCAAATTTTACGTTTGTTTAATCGGCGAATTTAAAAAGAAGACAAAACGAAATTATTATTTTCTTGTTTCAGATTTTTGCAAATTTTCTAGTGGTATTATCTTCAAAATATTGAAAATGCCAAATTCTGATGAATTACCGAAAGTGATCTTTGTTTTAGGACCTCCAGGATGTGGTAAAGGAACGCAATGTGTAAAATTAGAAAAGGTTAGCTTATTTACACTTTCGAAATATATCATTTCACATTTCTTCCTGAAATCTAAGTCTGTACATTGAAGAAGTCATGATGACTGAAGGATTTTTTCGAGTGTGTTGAAGTGTCTTGATGATTTTTTCTATTGCTGATATTTTAGATTTTAAATAATAAAGCATCTGGAGGTAACTTACTGAATATAATCAAAATTTCCAATTGGAGTAAAAAAAAACTTATTGCAGGATCTCGGTTTGAAACATTTGAGTGCTGGCGAATTGTTGCGGAATGAACAGAAACGTGAACGTTCTCAATATGGTCAAGTTATTGAATCACATATTCGAAACGGCACTATTGTTCCGGTTGAAATTACTTGCAAACTCATCGAGAATGTTAGCTATTTCAGTACTACTTACCTCATCAAATGACAGTTTTTGTATTATGAGATATTAGGACTTTTCTGCTTACTTTTTATTTAAACTGCAGCTTTACCTTTGTTCGCAACTTTAAAATTTCAACAGGCCTAAGATTTACTAACTGCTTAGGGCTTTAAAAATATATTTTGGGAATCGCAATTTGGCTTAAATTGCAGATCAAAAAGTAAAAATCGTGTAGCAAATCACGTATCAAAAAAAAACGACTAGAAGTTGTAGGGTTAGAATATCATTAAATACATAAATTTTGAAACAAAAATGAAAATTTTGATGGTAGACTTCATCTTTTCTTCTGCACTGGTTATATTATTGTTTTCAGGCAATGAATGATTCGTTGTCTGCAAAAGCATTCTTGGTTGATGGTTTTCCGCGGAATCAAGATAATGTAGAAGGATGGGAACGTATGATGATGTCAAAAGCAAAAGTTCTATTTATTTTATATCTACATTGCCCAGATGATGTATGTTTGTTGGCTTTTTATCACTTTTAACCTTAACAGTCCCCACACCCTTTTCTAATTTTCAAGGACTTCCGAGTTTGAATGCGTTCGTTTCTTAGTTTTGCATTCTATTTATCTCTGATTTTATGCGTTCCAGAAAACTCAAACACTAAATTTTCAGATCTGTATAAAAAGGTGCTTGAGTCGAAATGAAGGACGTTCGGATGACAACGAAGAGTCGCTACGTAAGAGGATTGAAACATATCATGCACAAACCATACCGATCATAGAACATTATAAGGCGAAAAATCTTGTTTGGCAAGTATCAGCAACGGCGCCACCAGAGGAGGTACTTTTCTAATGATTCCAGGATCAAATAATTCGTATATTTTAGTAGTATATTTGTCAACAATGAGACATTTTCTTCTAAATTATTCCCTTTGTAATTCTAGGAACTCTGAAGAAAATTTCAAAATTAAAAAGTAGTTCTATTCACAGTGACACACGATTTTTGAAGATGGTTGTGTTCATCTTACGAAATGAATTCAAGACTTAGTTAATTATCTTTAGTAAATCTAGAAGCCCTTCTAATTTATCTCAGTATTGTCTCCTTCATGTTTCAGGTTTACAAAGAAGTGAAAAAAATTTTTCAAAACAGTGGTATCTGAGAATGTTTGAAAGACTGTGTCGCCAGTCTCCTTATCCTGTTTTTATATATCTTATATTCCGTCGTAATTCTTTAAAAATTTGTGATATCACTATTCAGTAATTTTACAGCACTGTTTAATTAACTTCATAATACTTGGCCTTGTTTTTCTCAACCAATTGTTGGTCATTGTTACAAAACCTGTTTTCCATTGCATAGAAGAAAATCATCAATTCACTTTTTTGACGATCCTAAATTGACTCGCACTTTGTAATAGCAGTAAAAAAATGATCGGATAATCCCTAAGGATCAAAGTTAGCTTTATTTGAAAGGAATTTGGATCATTGAAAAGCTTTGCTACGTTGATATATTTTTCATCATGTTGAAATCTATACTATAATTTCATTAATTTATTTATATAATATGTAATCTATAATATTCGCATGTTTCTTTTCCCGATCTTTCATTTCTTTTCCTTACGTGAAAAGTTGTTATCAATCCTCCATAATACTTTCATATCTCTCGTGGAACTGATTTTATCTATAAAAGATACATAAATCTATAAACATCTGTAAAAGATGCATAAGTCGGGCGTGTGAAACTGACGGCCTTTTGCATCAAGCTCTTTCCAAATATTAGGATATAATAAAATGCGCAAAACTTATAAAAACTCTTAATTTACATTCTTTAAAGTAATTTCTAGCTTCCCAAACCTTGGGATCAAAACTGAAGAAGGCTGCGTTTCTTACCAAATTTACTTTAATCTGTTGATAAACTATAATTCCCTAACGACGGAACTCTATGTGAGAGATGTGGTAGTTAGTATTCAGTAGTTTGATCTTCTGAAAAAACTTCTGTAAATGAATAGCGTCTAGAAAGAAACGACGGCATTTTACTAACCAACATATAACAATATCAAATTATCAGCTATGAACTGCATGTCTGTTCCCCGAGGGATCTTCCATCGCTTCCCTTATGTCTTGCATATTACTTGGCTTAATGGCCCAACTTGGCATCTCACTCGAATAACACCATTCATTAGTTTGATATTTGAGACAGTGTAGGTGTAGCATCAGATGTTCAGGTATGATATCTTTCTTTTTCACGTTGCAATTCACACATATGGGATCATATTCCTGGCGCACTTTTGTGTCTAGTCCTTCTGATTCAGGTTGTACCTAGAACTGATCAATAATTAACTTAATCCGGGACTTGAAGATTTGCTTTTCTGTAACTCTAATGCGACTTGGATTAAAAATTATAAACGAAATCCACGGAGTTACTGAGAAATGGACAAATGAGACTAGACCAAAAAGAACAACATCAGTGAATTTAAAAGTTTTAACATGTTCTCTTGAGAAAAATTTCCAAAATTCAATTTTGAAATCACCTCTCCTTCAGCAATTCTTTTTATTCTGATCTCATATTCAGGGTCTACATGTTCATGCCATTTCGATAGCTTATGCTCTTCCAGAACATCTTTTCGAAGCTGAAAAGACAACTGAATTTGAGAAAATCTGAGTGAGAATTCGTGGCGACAAACACTGAGATCTTGCGCATTACATATTTTCCCGATATTTCTTACAACTTTTCAAATTACTAGAAAAGTCTGGAAATAAAGGAAGATGATGGTAAGGCTTTTCCCCATTTCTTTTCATTCCTTAACCATTTTTTCAGTATTTGATCCTTTTTTCTTTTCAGTACCTGTTCCAATGACTTCCCATAATTGCCATCCTTGCCTTTGGTTTCACCCCATCCAGGAGTATTATAAATGTAATCATCCACTATTGGGTAACCTGAAATAATGATAACATATGAATGGAGATTCTATATTACAAAGTTAGTCAAAATGAAAGATAACTGATAAGAGTATCACGAAAAACACATGTAAGCAATAATAATAAAGACTAAGCAATCATGTTTATATCATTCCAAAGTGTCACTCATTCTGCTAAACGCAAAATTTACTGTAAAAAGCTAACCTAAATATTGCAAGTGAACACGAATTTGATGGGTACGACCAGTTTCTAGCATACAACGAACGATCGATGTTTGACCATCAGTCCATAAACGCGAAAAACGGCTTAGAGCATATTTACCATCATCACGAACGCATTGAATACCCATCGAAACAACAAGTGGCCCAATGGGACGATCACAAACAACCTCTTTATCTCTTCAAAACAAGAATTAAATTGTAATATGAATGATTTCATTTAACCAATTAAACTTCAATCTTTGATCATTATAGGCAACAATGGGTTCAACAGTGAAACACATTGATGACATGCTCAGTTATAAATTTCTAGGCTGTTCGATAGGTGCTAATAAGCTCAAAACATCGTGCTTTTGAGAAACACTATATTATCAATTGTCCTTAAAATAAGGGAATTAGAAAAACAAAATTACAAAGTAAGATATTCTGTTTCAAAGAACTCTGTCTACTTACAATAAGCACATTTTAGCTCATTACTTGCAAAACATGCAAGCGATTATTTTTTCTTATTCCAACTTTGCAATTTTAATTATGTTCATCAATTTTCATCAATTTTCTGACACGAAAAATTAAAAACTTACGCCGGAAAAACACCTTCCACTTTGCAGAGATATTCTTTATGTCGTATTTCACCAGTACGTAACATCTTTTTCAGCTTAAAACAAGTTCGCTTTCTTAACATGAAGCATATAAATTCTTAACAGTTACAAATACATAAAAATTCAATTAAAAGTGTTTCAAAATTACCAATAATCCAGAAAATAGTGCAAAACGCAATATTTTTTCTCACCCTTTTGTAAGCTCATTGATTATAGTTATCTTCAGCTCTATTTCAAACTCTAGCTAATCTCCTAATCCTTTTCAAAGCACTTTTGATGCTTCAATTTACCATTCCACTTATAAGGCTGCTAATGTCATAACAGTTAGTCTATTTTCTAAAAGAATATTGAAAAGTTAAACGGTAAGCATTTCAACTAAAATTTCTAAAATGTGACGAAGTAAAAAGCAAAGGCTAACTTTAATATCGGTTTCAGCATTTCTAGCAAACAACAATACACCGGATGTTGTCCGATCCAATCTATGTACAACTATGAAACAAAAATTTTGTTAAATATAGGAGATCAAATATATGTTGTGTATTGAAATATATGAAATAAATTTATAAATTCAAAAAATGTATTAAAACAAAGTATATTCGTCGATCATAAATACGGTTAGCAGAAAAAGATGTTGCCTAGTTTTCAAAACGACAAAGTAAATATCTCTTTTATAAAGTAGTGAGAAAGTATTCCAGCTCATGCCTAAGCCAGAAGTTGCTAACAAAATGAATGGGAATTATCTAGTATTTGTCAGCTCGATAAACTTCATGGTAAACTCACCAAAACAAATTCCATCTGGGTTAAGAATAAAGTATAACAGTCGTGCAATCCCAAAATACTAATGTCCTTTCCTGTCCCTAATCAGAAAATAATCCCGTAAATTGCAGACAGTGCATAAAATTTGCTTTAGCAATGAAGCGCAAGTTTTTGAAAAAGGCATTTACCTCTAAGACCGCGGAGACCTCGTTGTTCCCGCAACATCCCCAAAACTGTATGCACACTATACCTACCACATGGATGTACCGGCATACTTGGTGGCTTATCCACCACCAGAACATTATTGTCGTTATCAATCACTCTGATATAATGATCCAAAATGGGATGCTCGTGGCGATGCCCTATATGCTCAATGGAATCGTTATGCTGTACGATATAATCAACATCCGTCATCTGATTGCAATTTACCCAAATACGACCTAATTTACATGCTGCTGCCTGCAATAAACCGTCTATATGGAAATCCATATGTACTATGAAATTTGAATTCGTACATATGTAAATTTTTTAATGATATGCGTGAATTTTCAAGATTCAAATAAAAAAGTTGCAATTACCGAGTTAAAAATCTCAACTTTCCTTTGATAGTATGAAAAAAGCGAGACTTGGAATTTCAATAAAATTTCAAAAAAAAAGTATATAAGAATTTACGGGGTAATGCGGGCTCAATGAAATAAATTCCTCTGCAAAAATATCGATCAAACGTCGCCCAACCCATCGTCCTTTAGCCCATGTGCGATAAACACTCCAGTATGGGCTTAAATATCGAATGCCTGCAAAAATCGAAGTCAAGAGACAATACAATCATCCTACTCATCTTTGATTCTTAACCTTTTGAACTATTTATTAATAAATCAGTATCTATTAATGATAATATTCGCACCAATTACTTTCATTAGTTTGAGCAGAATAAAAGAACTAAGAAAATGATGACAAGAAGTATTTTAGTTCACGCATGGAGATAAGCTTTGGAAAGGATTTTATGTGGAAGAGAATAAGATCTTAAAAAATGCACCAAAAACGTGCACGAAAAAGTCAAACCATTTTTGACGTGATAAGAAACGTTTTCTGGCATTTCGATAAGCGAATTTATCTCGTCCTGTTTACGTTTCTTTACCTCACGACTCTGTAAAAGAAAAGTCAGTTTAAAAGGTATAAAATTTAGTTCAAGTAAGCAGCAAGTAAAAGTTCATGAATCATGGAATCCTACATGTACCTCTAGTAAAAGCGATATCAGTACTATGTGGTCTCAGTAACGGAATTATATCACTTACATTTTTTCCCATGCAAAGACTAACTTAGTAAATGATTGATGCCATAAAAGTTCTATGTCATCTTTCAAACCTGAAATATCTTCGTATTACAATCATAACAAATATGACATTTTTAAATTTTAACAATGGAAGTATGAAACTCTTCAAAACCCAAAGATTTCTTCCAATCGTTAAAATTTCAGTTTATTAAAAACAAAAGGAGCAAACAAAAACCGCAGACCATACTGCTGTGAGAAATTTCGAAGTACCCTATAAAAGATTAATGTAATATTAAAAATATCGTGGGATATGAAGAGCCTTTATGAGATTGATGAAATTTTGAAATATGATAATGACAAAGATTGAGAAAAACACCAAAATATAATTCATATTGTTTAGGAATCATTTGAAGCGTTTGTAGCAAAAGAAGACAATGTGTCTCATCATGTACAACATTCAATGAATTTGGTGTCAATTTGCAATTAATACGGAGAAGCGGCATAAGGGCAAGGATGCGACATGATATGAAAAAAGATATCTGTAAATGATTATTTGAATTGTCTGACGTGGTGTATAATAATTTTATAGTAATTTTAACTTGCACTATAGCGGCTAACAGATAGCTCAGTCGTTGATTAGTATCTGTAGCTAATCGATATTTATAATTTATTAATACCCATAGTTCCATCTAAAAACTCTTCAACGCTAAGATTTTGTTTGTGCATGACTTGCCATTTGTTTGTGCATGACTTACCATTTTTGCCATGCATGACTTGTGAAATTTGGATTTGAAAAAGTCTAAAGGTATTATTTACCATGTGTGTATAAATGATTTATATATCTGACATACCTATTTATTACTGAAGACTAATTGATGCTTTTGGCGTCAATTCAACAAGTGATGATAGATATAATGATAATAGATCTTTTTCATGTAAAATTTTTTGCATATTTCAATGATAACACAATTTTATCTTCGTTCATTTAGGCACTGAAAATGATTAATACTATTTTGTCATAAATTTCATCAATTCTTTTCCGATAGCATTCTTTTCTCGTAACTACAGGATTATTCGATTCCTTTTGAATATCATAATTGTTAATTCGATAAAATTTTATTGCATCTATGTTGGTTATATTAATTAAATCAGAAAAGGTTACACACTCTATTTGCCTTATTTGAAAATTTAGTTGTATCATTTTTTGTTCGACAATTTTGTGCTAATTTTATTTCTTACTACTATCTCTCATCGTCATCGTTTGATTTGCACAAAAGATTAATTGATGAATAAATATTGAATAAGTATTATTAATTGATGATTAAATCAAAAAAGAATTAATTAACAACGAAGTTATATAGCCAATCTTTCCTTACAGTTTAACTTCGAAACTTATAAATATTTAAATGATAATAATTAAGGTATGATCGAAAGTGATAAGATAAAAGAAAACGAAAAAATAAAAATAATGAGGGATAAAAAATAAGGAATGTGATTGATTTACCTTACATTTTGAATTTATTTACTTTTTTGTCAAACTTATCTAAGTCACTTTTTGTTTATCCTTTTAATTTTTTAATTTCTTTTGCACTATTAATTAGTATTTGAAGTTTAATTCTTTTTGATTTAAATATTATTAATATTCTATTCCATCCATTTCTTTTACTCCAAAAAATAATAAGATTTCAAGAGTTTTAATTCTTAATTAAATTAGAAGAAGAAAAATTTCTTTCAGTTTTATTTCCAATTCAGTTATTTCTTCTTTTTAATTCTTTTTTCTCTTTTAATACAGTTCATCATTTCCGATGATTGTTTTCATGGCTTATAAGTTCAAATGAATGGCCGTCTAAAACAAAGTCAATTACACTTTGGAAAGCTAAAAGTTTTACAAATAAAACTTTGATGAAACGAAGCTGCAGTTTTCTATTTTGTGAGTGATTGAATCTTGTGATGAATGGAATACGGAAGATTAATAAACTCTCTGGATAACTGGTTAACCTTACCATTTCTAGTTACCGAGTTCAGCTCAATATATCGGTTCGGTTTCAACAAATAAATTTGGAAAGTAAAATCAGCAAAAGACAGATTTCGAATATATAAAATTTACTAACAACATATTTCAATAGATAATGTTGAGAATTCTATACACAAAGAAAATATCTTATCAATCAATCAGTCAATCAATCAATCAAAGAATCCGATAATTTATGCCACAAAAAATGAGAAAAAATCTGAAAAGAAAAAGTTACAAGTCTAAATTAAGGATGAAACTAAAATGTGCATGAAAATTTATTTCTTCTAAAATTTACTTTAAAATAAACAAACAATTAGGTGAAATTATTTCGCAGTAATTTTCAACGACAATATTTAATTATGGCATTGAAATATATATTATCATATTTCTATGACATTATAGTTCTTATCAAACTAAAGAAAGTATATGCAAGAAGTAACATACGATTATAAATTGATTACTATTGCAATAATAATTATTATTTATTTACTTATTTATTTATTTATTATTATTAATTATTAATATTATTAATTATTATTATTAAATTATTACTGTCATTATAATAATATAAAATGAGTGTCGATAAATTAGTGACATTAGTATTTTTAGTTATTAATTGATAGAATATGGAAATTATCAAATCATGATGCAATAATTTTTTTGATTTCAATTTCGATTAGATATAGGAATTATCTCATTAAAAAGATTCAACAAATCCGGAAGAAAAAGAGTAATAAGATATATCAATTAACGATTACTGATAATAATTGAAACAATTGATCAATTTATTTATTCGAAATTCTTTCTTATTTATAAGAATTCAAAAACATATATGCTAAACTATTGTTTTTCATGTTGTTCTTTTTTTACAATTACATGAAGAAAAGAGGATGGATTCTGATGGATTTAATGTCATCTGATAGACATGAAGAGAGCATGGTGGATTCTGAAGTGGTATAATGTCATCTTCCTTTTCACTTTTCTCCTTTTCGTTCAACGATTATCGTTTTGGTTAGACCGAAAGAAATTTGATAGATTGTAAAGGGGGTAAGCATGATCAAATTATCTCATGCTATCTTGCCTATCTATTTAAATTTTAGTGAATAAGATTGAATTTATTTATACGCTAACTTTTCCATGGATGATGACAAGAAAAAAGTAAAAATATTGAAGATATTAACAGCTTCACAATCATTCATCGTATCACATATTCATTCGTTTAATTATTTTAAATGAAACCCTTCAGATAAGCATTCAATCCTACAAAATTATCTTTTTTTCTCTACCTTCTCCAATTTCTTCTCCCATTTGCATGTTTAAAATTGAATTTTCATTCTGCTCATAAATTTACCAAATTCAATATGATTACGTTATCGGCGATGATGATGATGATGATGATGATGATGATGACGTTGGTCTCCTTTAAGTTGTCATTATCTTTTGATAATGTTTATTTTTTTTTAAATGAGATTAAAGTTATGCTGTTGTTGGAATGGATGTTCTGCTTCTTTGCATATCATTTAAATGCTTTCAATTGATTTCCATTTTAGCTTTCCTGAGATTTCTCACTGTATCTATCATTCATCTTATATATCTAACAGGATAAATGTTTATGATTATTTTCAATAAATACATTATCCTCTTTAGTTTTCTGAAATATTTATCAATATTTTTTCTTGTTTGTTTTTATCTCTTATTAATTGATAAAATCAAAAAGTTATCAATGATAAAGTTTTAGTCGTAAAAAATAATTTTTTTTTTCTAGAAATTGAAAGAGTTATAAAAATATATATTAAAAATTTTAACAAATTAATTAGAATTCTATGAAATTCTTAAAGTTAAGTTGCAAAACTTTTACGGGAATGATCAGAAAAATTTTTTGATATTATAAACGATTCATTTAAATATTTTAATTAATAATCACAATAATATAAATATGTATATGCAGGTGAATACGGGCAAAATAGGTAACGTTGAAAAATGGTTGCAAATTTTTTCAAACGTATTTTCATTTCAATTATAACATTGCAACAAAGTTCATTGCATTCCTTTTTCGATTGGAAAATAAAAGAATTGAAATATTTGCGTATGTTTGATCTTACGATAAACATGATATTTATTATTGGGAGGAAAAATTTTCAATTTAAGATTCAATTTAAGATTAATTGTTTTTCAATTTTATATCAAAGAAAAAAGTTTGGAATAGTAAAGAAATCCATTATAAAATAAAATTTCAAACTTTCAGTAATCATTATAAATCATTCGATAATATTATTATTATATGGCACTTTTTTGTTTATCAACAATATTTCATTATCATTTGTAACACATTAATTTCATTTCAGATCACTATGAATAAATGTTTTTGATAATTTCTGTCCAAAATATTGATTTCAGTCTTTTTTCAAATATCATTTTCTCTATTAAATAAATAAATAAATTCTGAAACTTTTTCATTTCATCAAAAAATTAAAACTATTTTTTTTTTACTAATATTGATGAATCGGCGCGGATATCGGATAGATGAGCCTATTTAATCAGTACTTTGATCCATTTTACATATCCGATTTCAATACATTCATCCAATCATCCATTAGGTATGATTGAATGAATGCATTGAAATCGGATAGCAAAAATGGATATTAGATGGTTAGATGGATAAGTGATTAAAAGAAAGTAAAAAAATAGTTTTAATATATATTTTATCCGTTAGCCAATAAAATAAATTATTGCCCTATTTTTTTATCACTTATTTCATATATCCATCCGATATGTATGTATATATCTATCCGATTTGCGTAATATTTTAAGATAACAATAGGTTAGAAATAATCAACGATGTAATTTTATTTTAGCAAACAGATTTCGTCGTAATAAATCAATCATTTGATGAATGAATAATTATGGTAATTATTATATCTTATCATTTTGCTCAAAAATTATTTCGTTATTTCTTCGATTTCAATTTCTTTTAATATTTCATTTCCCATTTTTACATATTCAATTGCTTAATAAGCATATCATTTCATCAATTTAATGCAAAAATATTAAAATTTATGATAGAATTTGTAGCATTTTGTTATTGGTGGAAATTTAAAAATTTATTGTTAATAGAAATAATTTTGTTGATAATATTATAAATTTTAAGATTCCTTACCAAAAATGATTTCGTCGAATTCTTTGTGGAAAATCGTTGAAATGATTTTGCTTTTATTTTTGAAATTCGAAGGAGAAATTTTAAAACAATTTCAAAAGTTATTAATATTCAATTCTAATAAGTGAATAAACTGAGACTTAAATATATCAATTAAAAAGTTAATAATTGATAATTGATAAATTAATAATTAATTAATAATTGATAAACTAAGAGTTAACTTAACATCAGCAGAAGACGAAAAGTAATAGGAAATTCTGACGAAACTAATCATTGAATTTATTATATGTCAAAATTTTTTGTTGTTTATTGATTTTGAAAAAGAAAGCAAATAATCTCAAAATTTAAATTCCATTCAATTTTTGTCACACCTTTTCTTCCACATCAAAGTTAATAAGTTTGGATTAATGAATATGAATTTTAATATTGTTTGCTATCAGATAAAGAGAAATTGTCAAGGTAAGTAATACATATCACTATATCTATATCTTGATATCTTGATCTTTTATCTTGTTCCTCTATTATCTTGATTCCAAATTATTTAAAATTCAAAAATAATTTCAAAAATAATTTGAAATATCAAATTGAAATATGAAATATCAAAAATAATTTGCGTGGGTGAGAATACATAATAAGGTTAAAATAATTGCTTAATAAAAATCACGCAAATTTTATTGACTAAAAATTTAGCTTAATTTTCGGAATGTATCAGAAATCTTGAAAATCATACAAAACATAGCCGAATTTTAGAACGATGAAAGAATTTCCAAAATCTCAAATATCTACCGAATGTTTAGTTTATTAAGAAAATTAGAATGATTTTTCTTTGAATTTCATCAAAACTTTTTACTGTTCAATTTTGATTTTCATTTTTGAATTTTCAGTATTTTTGACTATAATTAGCATTAAATATTTATTTATGTTAACATGGATAACACTTATTAATGTTAAAAACAAATTAATTGAATTTAAATTAATTTTTTGTTTTTCGAATATGAAAGCTAATTTTTAACAATTTCTTTAAAATCAATAAATATTTGAAACAAATTATACCAATTATTTAACCTTTGATGCATTTTCACTAATCTTCTAAGCCATTAACAACACATCACAGATGTAAATATTTCCAACAAACAGACTTCTCGCAGCTGCAAAATTTTGGTTCAATTTTTATGAGACTAAAATCAAACAATTCATTTCTTACTATTTCTTTCTGCATCAAATTTCAAATTTGAAGTTATTCTTATTAGCAAAACCAAAATGATAATCATATGGTACATTTGTTGAAAACATATATGAAAAAAGAGCACTTTCCTGATGATAATGCTATGATAAGGATATTATTATTATTATTATTATTATTATTATTATTATTATTATTATTATTATTATTATTACTATTATTATTATTATTATTAAAGTTTAAGTTTATTCATTCAAGCTTATTCTATTACTATCAAATGAAATTAGTAAAAACTATTGATGATTAGAAGGAAAAGATTTACAGTGATTAGGATTAACTGAAGTGATATGAAATATTAATTAATTTTGTATAAAAAATATAAATATGCAAAATAATTGATATTTAATAGTAATTCAAAAATATTAAAGAAATAAAATATTTTTAAAGCCTGTTCAGTGCAAAAATTTGCACATTTCAAAGAAAATTAGCACTTTTAATTCTTAATTGTTACCAGTCTGAATATCTGTCAATAAAAAATGAAAGAAATTTCGCTAATTTCACATCAAATTTCATTCATTTATATAGAAAAAGGAAATTTTAAAATATTTCCAATTCGAAAAAAAGGAAACGAAAAACTTACTTCAATTTCAGGAATTGATTATTTTAATTTCAATTTCAGGAATTGATTATTTCAACATGAAATTTTCAATTTCTTCCAAAAGTATCGACGATAATTTTATTCATCAATAATAAAATAAAATTGTTTACATAGTAAATATTGCTTACATTATTTCATATATGCAAAAAAAAAGTGCTACTAAATTTGCCATTGTATCTCTCGGGAAAATATTTGATTGCGATAAATAGGCATAGGCCTATGTTTATGAAAGGAAGAGAAAAAAAATTTTAAAAAATTTTATTGCAATATAATCCAACATAAAAAGAGAGAGAGAGAGAAAGAGAAAAAAAGGAAAATTATTATATTTTGAGGTATTTTATTATTAGCATACAAAAGAGTATGAATGAATGAATCGAAAAAGAAAAGATAAGAAATTGTTGTATTACGATTTTTATCATGATTATTTCAAATATTTTCATAATTTTATGAATATTAAATAATGAATGATTTGAAATTAATCAATAATTTTTATAATTAAACATTATTTAAGTTTGTAATGTGACATAATTTATGCAATACAGTAGCCGACAGATATTTTTATCTAACGAAAGGGATTTGCACTTGGTTAAAAAGTAGAATTAATGCTTATATGGAATGTAAGAGGAGGAATAGGAAAGGGAGGATCTTCTTCATTCCGATCATTTCCTATAACATCGACTATTCAACTTTTCAGTTAACTATTAATCGGTAAACGGAAAATGGAAGTTTATTTCATTCATTTCATTTTAATTTCAATTTTCAATTTTAATTTTGAAATTAATAACTTTTCAGGAATAGTTTATTTAACTATAAATTTGATCCTTTTATACTAATTTACTCTTTTGAACATTGCTTTTTTTAAATTTAGTTAGTGAAATTTTTCTATTGAAATTTCCTTTTTTGAAATATAGCCTAAATTAGCAAACAAATATGTAGAAGGTATTGTTTTAATAAATAAGCATTTGTTACCAGTTTTTCTTTATTTTAATTGTAAATATATTTTTAATTAGGCATTAAATTGAAAAAAATTAATTATTCATTTACTTCGCAATTTATTAAATGCAATGATTTCAGTTTTAAAACGTTTTATTAAAATTTTAAATCCCTATTTTACTTCAAATTTTAATATTACGATTTGTTATTCGTATTTCAATGAACTTCTCTCAAGGAGTTAAACGAACGATTATTCATCGTTAGCATCAGTGATAATTAAAATATAATTAAATCTGATGGCTTATTTAATTTTTATCTCTTCCTATTAAAATTGTTTTATAACTTATCATTTTCTACTTCTTTATCAGAAAATAAGAAATAAAACAAAATTTCTTGTTTAAATTCGTCTAAATTTGCATAAAATTAATATTAAAAAAAAAATCTTTGTCATTTAATTGCTTCATTGAAATGAATTAATTTCTGCTAATTATTAATTTCTTTAATTGAATTCATTAATCGTTAAAATTGGTAATTTTACTTGTTATTAGAAACAAATATTCCGTCTAGCAGTTTTAAAATGTTTTTTTTACTAATTTGAAGCTTAATTATTTAGCAACAGAGAAATATTTTACAAAGTTTAAAACAAAATTACAAACTTTTCATCATAAAATATTTAGGAAAATTTCATCCTAAAATTGTTTCTTTACGTAAATACTTTGTTTTAATTCTATCATTGTTTTAAATTCTAAATTTTATTAAAATAATATTTTCTATTAAAAATATGAAAAGAATTTTTATTAAATGTTCAATATAGTTTAGAATAATCGAAATTTTCAATTTAATATCTCAAATTATCAACTGATAATTAATCGATCATCGTTAAATCTTCTGATAATTCATTGTTTTTATTGCTATTGTTTTGTCAAATATTTGATGATTTTAGGCAATCGTTATAATTAATCAAAATTCTATAATTTATTTAATTTTATTTTTTAAATTTCAGAGGATTATCAAATATTTGATAATTATTTTTTGAATCATATAGTAAACTTTAGGTAGAAATTGAATAACATGGCTATTGAACAGATTAATTTAAATTAATTAAAATTTTATTGTTTGAATTAAGACGACATATAATATTTTCCGATATATAACAACGATGAATTTGTAACATTCATAAATGTTTTAATATTTTGCATTTCAGGATTAATGATCGGATAAAATAATTAATTGCGATAAAAAAGTGCTTCTTTGAAATTTTTAGTTAAACAAAATTCCAATAAGTATGTGTTAATTAATAGAAGTAAATTAATAAATTTTTGTTACGTTATCAATTGATTTATCCTTAAATTTATGTATCTAAAAATTTTTGATCGATCTGTTCAGTAAATTGAGTGATAAATCTCAATTATTATCACTTAATAGACTTAATTATTATCAATTAATACTTCAAATCTAATTACACTTAATTGGTGAAATTTTCAAAAAGCTCAACAAACATAACTATTTGAATTTCTTATTTTTCCTTTTAATTTTTCATTCTAAATTATTAATTTTTTATATGCAACATATCAATAAAAGATGTGAATGCATTAGGAATTATGGAAGAGAATGACAAACAACTACCATCGTGTAGTATTTGCTTGGGTTCCTCAGATTCACAATATATCGTAAGTTCTTATCATATCATTTTCAACATGGATTAATTCTTTAGTAATTTTATCAATTGTTAATTTTTTATTAGTAAAAACATTACCAATGAAATTTATAAACATTACTTAATGAAATTATTGATTGATACAAATGCAAAATTTATGAAATTTGTTGAATTTTTGAGTGATGCAAAAAAAAAATGAAGCAAAAATCAATGAGATATTTCAGATCAATGATAATCAATGATAATATTTCAGAAATATAATTTGATAGTATCAGGTATAATATTACCAATTATCGGTTTAATTGGAATTGTTGGGAATTTCTTTGTAATGGCTGTTTATGGTAGTATCGAACAACGAAGCCATTCAACAAATATTTATTTGGCTGCTTTAGCATTAAGTGATTTTTGTATGATATGGACAGCAATTATTTTATATGGTTTAGAAGCCTGGAGGCATCATGGTCCAACAGGTATAAATTTCAGCTGTATAAATATGATATATGAATATCAGTAGCTTTCTTATGTTATAATTGATATATTAGTAATTAATGAAACTATTTTAAAGCATCAATTATTACTGAAATGCTTTAATATATTGTTCAATTCATAATATATTTATTATCTTTAAATAAAACTTCGAATTTCAAAACTGTATTAATTAAAAGAATGAAAAAATTTTCTGTTTTCTATAAATTTCCCTTACTATTTCATTTATCTTTTCAATTTCGTTTTTATTATGGAAAAATTTAAATAAAATACTGTAAAGTAAGTTTAAAAATTGAAATTGAAAATTGAAACAGATAAAAATTTATAGTTTTGGCAACATTTTATGGGAGAAGCGCAGAATTTGTTTTTCCAATCAGTACTATCCTACAAACTACATCGGTTTATTTTTGTGTTGCCGCAGCTGCTGATTTCTTTGCTCGAATTGTTTTATCGGCAAAAATTAAAGACAAAATTTGCACGCCAAGGTATAAATTAAAATTATATTAAATTTTAAAAAATTCACTGCTATGGCAATGAATTGTTGTTTGGTTTGTTTGTAGACGAAAATAGGAAAGTCGAAATTTAAATTGCACTGAAATTAAATATTGTTTTGTTTTAGATAAAACATTTTTTTTTTTTAGTACATTTCTTATAATCTCACATTATAATATCAACCTTTTTAATACAATTTGAATCTTAAATGGTTGAAGAAAATGCTTGAAATTAGCCTAAATTAATTCTTAAGATTTTGATATTAAAGAACTATTTTTTTTGTTAAAGTATGATTTAAAAAAAATACTGATTTTTGTTTTCTTGTAATTTTTTTATCCTAAATTATAAATAACAAATAAACAACTGTTACTTACCAGTCATACTATATCAATAGAAAAGTAAAAGTGATAGTTTAGTGCTCAAATAAGAAGATTGATAAATTCAATTGAAGGAGCATATCAACAATGTCATATACGATGATTCATTATCTGATATCTTAAAATCTTATCCAATTTGAATTCATCAATTATTAATTTTTAAGTTAGGAAGCAATTTTGATACTTTTTGTTTTGGATTATTTGAGGAAGAATGAATTTTAATAACAAAATCAATTATTCATTTATGCATATTAGAAACACTGAAATAGCATTTATACTATTTTATTATTCAAATTGTATTTATTATATATTTCCATATCATTAGGGGAGATTTAAAAATTTATTGTTAATAGAAATAATTTTGCTGATAATATTATAAATTTTAAGAATCCTTTCCAAAAATGATTTCGTCGAATTCTTTGTGGAAAATCGTTGAATTAATCATATACTTTTATTATTGAAATTCGAAGGAGAAAATTTTAAAACAATTTCAAAAGTTATTAATGCTCAATTCTAATAAATGAATAAACTGAGATTTAATTATATCAATTAATAAATTAATAATTGACAAATGATAAATTAATAATCAATTAATAATTGATAAACTAAGAGTTAACTTAATATCAGCTGAAGATTGAAAAGTAATAGAAAATTGTGACGAAAACAAACCAATGAATTTATTATATGTTAAAATATTTTTTGTTGCATTTTTCTCAATTTCTACTTTTCCTTTAAGTTTATGTTTAATTTATGGTAAAATGGAAATTTTTTGTTGACAGTAAATTTTCAGGAAGAGAAATTTTGAAAGTTTTCATTTGAAATAAATTAATGCTATTATTGTTTATTTCTTTTTTTGTGATAAAATAAATCAAATTAACTTTACAACATTTTTTTTGTTCTTTTCTCTTTCTAAGCTTAGTTTCTTAATTTTTTGTTTGTTTTAAGGTTTTTGGTATTTTTAAAATATTAAAATTTAAATTGCTTTCTTAAGAACTTTCCGAATTAGCAAAACTTTTATTAAAACTTAAACAAAAAGGTTTTTTTCCATTTTTTTTTTTTAAATTTAAAACTTTTTAAGAACCAATTTTATGGAATCAATAAATAAAGTAAGCAAAAAGTTTGTAATTTATTCATTCATCAATTAAATTAATTATCAATCAATCAATTTTTGGCTTAAAAAAAGATGTTGATAAAAATGATAAAAATTTTTCTTCGGCAATTATTTCTCAATAGAAATGAATGAAATGAATAGATATTTTCAATTAGGAATAATTTTATCATTTCATGAATGAATTATTGAAGAAATGATATCAGTGTAACAGTTTATAAATATGTTCATAAAAATTAATTGATATCAATGATGAGAAACAATCAATATTGCTATTCTTCATCATTAGGCTTTTGTAAAATTATTCAAAAAAGATATTTGAAATAATTATTCAGATTCGCCCGATTATCTGTACTATTTATTGCAATAATATCGCTATTATACAATGTGCCACATTTTTTTGAATTAACAACGATTGATTGTATCGATGAAATACGAAATAATACGTTATCAGTACAAGTCTGTCCTACCGGTATGATAATTATATTTTAAGCATTGCAATAATTATTGTTTATGGTAAATTGTAAATAAAATTAGCAATTCCTAGAAAGAGAAATTCATGAAAATCGTTAAGTTTAATTTCTTAAAGTTTTCTTTTTTCAGAAATTAAATATTTGAATATTTAAGTATTTTTGGAAATCCTAAAAATATCTCATTTCAAATAAAATAGATCAATTGTAATTTTTCAGAAGAAAATATTCATAAAAACTTATAAATTTAACTTTGAATATTTTGAGAGTTTCATTCATCATTATATATCTATTGATATTATATCTCTTTATATATCTATTGATATTATATATATATATCTATTGACTATTGATAGTTAATTTTGAGAACTTCGAAATAGTGCATCCTATTATCAATTATATTATACTTATATGTATACGATATTTATGGCTGTTGGACCACTTTTGCTTCTTATTATCCTTAATGTATTGGTTGTTCGAGCTGTACTAAAAAATGGCGCTTCAGGTAAATTACTTCAAAATTTCATTAAGTTTTATTAAGTTATATTTTAACTTTAATAATTTAATAACACTTCGTAAAATACAAAACATTTATTAATATGAAATAATAATTATGTAATAATTTTAAAGAAAGATAGAAATTATCTTTTATCATTTGATAGATAACAAATAATATTTTCTTTTCAATTATCAATGAATAAATTTGAGCTTTAGGAATTTTTTTGATTAGATAATATTTTTAATTCATTATTTATTATCAGTAAGGTAATAAATGAAAGAGTATGAATTTAATCATTTATCATTGCAATATCAGATGATTCCGATACAGTTAGTCTTATACTGGTCGTTTTCATGTTTATCTTTTGTAATTCAGCCGCTCTTTTGGTTAATTTTATTGAAATGGTTTTCGCCGAAAAGGTATAATTCCATTGAAAAATATATTAATTAGCTAACAGTTCAATAATTTTTTTTATCGATTAAACAATTAAAAAACGATCAATCAATCAATAATTTAAAGATTAAATATTACATTATTTTTATGCATGATAAAAGAAATTCTCTTTGATAATTTTTACTTCATTTTTATTTTGTAAAAAAATTTATTGCAGGTTTATCACCTGTTGGTTTATTTGGTTGATATGTCCAATTTATTGGTTGTTATCAATTGCACCGGCAATTTTTTCTGTTATCTCTTTTTCGGTGGAAGTTTCAGACGTACACTTCGAAAAATTCTATTTAGACTCTTTCATCGGCTGTCATCAATAATTACATTTCAAAGAGTCATTATCAACTTAAGGCTTAATAACTAATTTAAAAAAAAAGAAAGAAAGAAAGAGAGAGAGAGGGAGAAAGAGAGAAAGAGAAATGAAAAAAGAAGAAGAAGATGAGGGAGGAAGAAAGAAAGAGAAAGCTCATTATTTATCTTCATCATTTCATTTCATTTCATTACTCTTTTTCATTGTACATTTTATTCATCTTTACCTCTCTCTTCTCTTCTTCTCTTTCGTTCTTTTTTTTACTTTTATTTTCCATTTTCCTTTCTTTCACTATCTTTCTTTCTCTTTTTTTAAGTGTAATTTCCAATTAATTTTCATATCCAATTTCATGTTCTTTTTTTTCCCCTTTTCTCTCAAACTATTAATTGGCTATTTCCTAACTTCCAATTATTTACTGTAAGTGAAAAGAGAAAAAGAAAAAGTTTAAGAAATTATAAAATTAAATTTTAATAGTTTAAATCCATAATAACAAGATTGTAATTAAATTCACTTACCGTAGTATGATGATAATATTAATTACTATCAAAAATTGAATTCTCTTAAAATAAAGAAAATGTTTAATTAATATTTTGATTAATCTAGCAGTAAATATAAGAGAGCAAGTGATGAAGTAATCGTTTAATGTTTATACTTGAATTTTTCCCGGGAAAATATTTTATCATATTCTATCACAATGTAATTGATAACCAATGCAATAGGATATGATAAATTTTCAGATCAATTTCTGAAACAAATTTTGATAGTATTGATTGAATATGAAATTAATAATTCCACTCCTGATACGATAATATTATTTCAAAATACTTATTAAAGTTCCAATTCACAGCAGAATTTCAAATTTAAAATTTTAATTTACAATTTTCCGGACATAAATGCTATTTATTATATTTGCTTTATGCAAATATTAATATTTCATATATTTGAAAATACAACAAAAATAATATAATCTTAAACGGTAAACATTTGCATACTTAAAAATCAAAAGATTTTTAAAATTATTCTTTTATTAATTATTATATCTATTCAATTGCTTCATTTCATTCCGAATTACAAATCGATCGTCGTTAAATTTTTCAGTTCATCTCATCATCTTTTGATAGATGAAGCTGTCAACAAATACTAACATTCATAATTTAATAAATCATAATTTCCTTTTTCTTTTTTTTTTAAAGAAAACGAATATTAAAATATTTGAAGAAAATTTTTGCATACTTTCAATTTAGACGATGAAAAAGCCATTATGCATGGATTCACTAAAATTTTTACCGAATTATTATTTTTGCTTCTTTTAAATATCTGAATTGATTGCTAAGAAGTTTATGCTTAAATTGTTTTCTTTCAATTATCTGTTGAATTTCAATTTTGTTGCAAAAATTGTTAAATAATTATGGAAATGAATTTCTTTCTTAAATTGAATTTTTGTTAAAGTTTAAAAAGGAAAAATTTTTTTCATTTAAATGAGAAAGGAATATTATCAAATATTTCAATTAAAAAATATTTTATTGATTTCATTGAAATATGAAATAATGAAGCGAATTCCTTAATTTACCTGTAATAAATATATAACAAATTTTATCATTGAATTATTCGAAATTATTTGCGAGAAATTTTTAAACAATGAAAATATATTACAATTCAATAATTAATGAAATATTTTTCATTCATTCAAAAATTCATTAATTATTTAATTGTTAATGGAAATAAATTGTTTTTCAATACATATTCTCTTCCTTTTAATCGTTATATTTTGAAATCAATATGAATATTTAAAATTCGAAACTATACCATCACAACATTTAACAATAAGTAATAGGATTTATGAAATTAATGTATCCTATTTTAGCCTTAATTAAATACTGAAATGATTAATTATATCAATTAATTTAGTTATTTAATTTTATTGCTCCATTGCATAGATAAATATACATTGTATTTCAAGGACATGATTTCATTTTAATTTTTCGAAATTTTGTTTAATTTTATTTAAATTTAAATATTATTCAAGAAATTGGTTGCTAATTTTTAGATTATTCTTTTGTTCATTTTTTGTTTTTCCTTTTCAAATTGTGCCTAAAAATAATTTTGCTTCATTTATTTATTTATTATATATGCCAATAAATATTATATAATTGAAAATCAAACCATTTTTTAACCATATGCTTTTGTTTTTTAATAATTGCAATTTTTTGAAATGTAAATTAATTTCTTCTCGTATATTTTGGAAGAATTATTCGAATTTGAATTGAATGTTTTTGCAAAAGAAATTTCATGATAATCATGACATTGATCACAAAATCAATCATGATAATCATGATATTATCAAAATTTGAACTAATTGAAATGCTAAAATAGGAATTGTAATTATATGAGCGAAGTTTTTGTTTTTCACATAACCATCTGATAATTAATTGTTTCGCAAATAATGTAATTAATGTAATTTATTAAATAAATATACCATAAAATATTGACATGTTAACATTTTTGCCACATTACATTCAATGAAGAATGATCGATGATGAAAATAAACTTTCATTCATTCATTTAATTATGCATTTTAATCAAAAGTATCACCGACTATATCAATGAGAAGTTAATTTCTCCAAATTATCTTTACTCATATGTTACTGTAACTGTCAACAAAAAAGGAATGATTCATCATAAAAGAAGCAAAAAATGAAATTCAATCAAATTTCTTATCAATAAGTAAGCATAACATAAAAATGAAATTAAATGAAAAAAATAGCATTTTAAAAAGCTTTTTAATGGTAGAAATGAATGTTAAATACACGAGGTTATTAATAAGTTTAAAACAATAATAATTTATCTTCAAAAATCAATGTTTTCTAAATTGGAAATGATATTGATAATAATAACTGAAATACATAAAGTAAAGTAATTGTGAAATAAAACATTCGCGGTGGGAATTTTATTAAATTTTAAAGCATTAAATATGATGGAAAGCTTTAAGAACAACGTTAATTATTAAAATATTATTGATTTCCCGAGATTTACGCTTTCTCTTTTCACTCGCTACAATTTAAAAATAAATAATTCATACCAATTCTTTTCATACCATATAAAATATCAATCGATAATAAATTATTATTCAAATTATAATTCATAATGATTAATAAAAAAAGAAGGCTAAAAATATTTTAGAATGCAAAAATTCTTACAATATATCTCGGGAAAAATTTCCGACAAGTCTCAGAAGAGTAATTTGGTAAAAGCATTATATTATTAATTATAACTTAAAATTCAATTTAATTTATAGCTCAATTTCAATTTCACATATAAGAATAAATTCAATAATATTTTGGTTGATATTTAATCGAAATTTACATTAACATTAAAATAAATATTAAATATTAGCCATTAAATGACAAATAATTCATTTACTCAAATTCCAATATTTGTTTATTAAATAAAAATTAAAAAGGAAAAATTTCCATTGCTCCTATATTAAATGAAACGAGAATGATAAATACTTTTACTTTGCTTATTTCAGTAAATAAATTAATAATCAAATACTTATTTATTCATTTATTCATTTCCAATTTTTTCCCATTCAATTACTAAAATATATAATTCATTCATTCCATTACTTTTCACTTTCTTTGACATAATTTTGTACTGAACTTTTTGTTCCTTCCATTTCCTTATTCTTTCTAATAATCTAACAAAAGGGATAAGAAATTCATTATTTCCAATTTGATTATTAATTAAATGCTTTAATTACTAATTATTTCTAATTTTCTTCCTTTTCACTCATTACATATCCCAAATGAATATTTTTAGCAAAAAGAAAATGAAATTTTCTCTTTTTTTAAAATTTCATTAACAATCCCATCAACCATTCATTAATTAAATCTTTCTCATTTATAATATCTTCTTTTAAGCCGAATATTCGTCGAAAATTTGATAAGTTGAAAATTGTAAACTTATCTTTTTACGTCACAACAGAACGAATATAATCCATCAATTTTACCAATCAATAACTGCCACTATCCTTTCATTCTATTAGCATCAAAATCTGAAAAGCTTTTAATCATAGCCAGAACATTTTCATATTCATAACAACTAATATATTCATCACAGAGAAAAAGAGTAAATGAAAAGTTAAGGTAAAAAAAGATTTCAGTAACAATTGCAAAAGCGAAAGAATAAAAGGAAAAGAAAAAAAAAGTGAAAAAAAATTTAATCCATTGTTATATTACACATACACACATACATACATACAGACACACACACACACACACACACACACACATACACAGATAGATAGAGAGAGAGACACAATTTATGACTGCCTGCTTTATATCCATCCTTCTGTCCGCATCTTTTAAATGTTTATTATATCCGTTCATTTATCAACACCTATGGGCCTATGGCGTATATATACGTATGTATTGCTTGCGTAAGGATGGATATATTTTCTTCCCTTAAATTTTTATCAAATTTTACTATTTTTGAAAAATGTTAAAATTTAAATTTTTCATTTTACCTTTTGTTACCTTTCCTTCTTTCTTTGTTTATGTTTCTTTTAATTAATTTAGCGCTGTTATTGTAAGAAATAATCAAAATTCTTTTTTTTAAAAAAAAAATGCTTATATTTAAGTAAATAATGAAATGGACGCTTTTCTTTTGTTTGTTTTCTCATTTAAAATTAATTACTTATCAAATTTGAAAGGTTAAAAAAAATCAAAATTTTCAAATGTTTTTTTGTTCGAAAAAAATAACGAGGAAAAATATTGTGATAAAGATGATAGATTGATTATATTCTGCCGAATATAGCTGTCATTAAAGGGAAAAATAAATGAATACAGGAAGATATGGGACAGCAAATATTTTCTTAACTTTCTTGCTTTACCATTCATTAGAAACTTTAATACACACGTGCATACACATCTCCTATATATCAATGTTATAAGTGAATTTGTCGTTTCATTATTTTTAAATAAATTCCATACTTATTTATTTATTTATTTATTTATTTACCTATTTATTTATTTATTTATTTTTATTGAACAATCGGGTAAATTAATTAATTCGTTTAAATTTAACATAAAAATAAAATGACGGAAAAGTGCTAATCACTCAATCATTTCATACTTCAGATTTAAAGGAATAAAAAATTTAAAAAGAAAACAAAAACAAAGAAGAATTGAAAAAAGGAAAAGATGAAATGGTATCAATGCAATTGATTAAATCATTACCTATCATTTATCAATTGTGATTGTTATTTGCTATAATAGAAAGAAATGATGGTATATATATTTATTTGTGATCGAACTGTAATTTGAAACTAAAATTTCGGATCAAACGAATTTGAATTGAATTGCTAATGGATTATTAGCAGCATATTTATTTATGATTTGAATGATAAAATTGGATATATCAAAAACTGGAAGTGTCACCAATATCTGCACAATTAATTCTATCGATTCAAGAAAATAATTGCAGATGAAGATTAAAATTGATGATGCTTAAAGGGTAATGTTATATTTCCTATTATGCTTTATAATTTTTTCCATCGAATAATAATTTCCTATCTGTCACGATGAAATTATCTGTCACCATAAAATTATCTAACAGTTATGATTGAAATGAAAATCATAATTTCCCATCCATTTCATATAATATTATTACAAAATTTTTCATTGTAACATTTTAAACGATATAATTTATAAACAAAATAGAACATCTATTGTGTGTCTTTATTTTAATTCATTTGTTTTACTTCGTATTATAAATGGCAATATGCTGATAATATTGATTTATCAGATTGTGCTTCTTATCATCTTTATCAGCGATCTGTTATAATCAAATTTCTGGCTAAAATGAAATTATTTCGAAATTTTTTGAAAAATATTCATCATCTTTAGTTGAATTTCCATGAGATGATTAGATTATATCATATAAAATATTTTATGTAATTTCAAATTGTCTAATAATATTCTTAATAAGAATAATATCATTAAAACTATAATTTTTAAATATGAAAGTATTCAATAAATAAAAATTATTCATTTCCTATTGTTTCTCTATTGATTAGTATGTGATAATACTTATAATACAAACTAAAATATATTTTTATCGTAATTAATTCATTCAAAAATATTTTTCAATAATTCATTTCCAAATAAAATGAAAGATAAAGAAAAAAAAGTTTTTGTTTTCGATAATTATTAAATTCTAAAAAAGAATGCTATAAGAAAATAAATAATTGACAATTATATTAACGAAAGGAAATAAATAAGTTCAATCCTTTCGATTTATAAATACTATCATATCAGTATGTTGTTGTTGTTGTTGTTGTTGAAATCTTTCTGCTTTTTATCTTCTCTTTTCATATCATAATATTATTACTAATTCGAAATCAAATGATAAATTTTATCATTTGTTAATTATTATTAATTTGAAAATAAATAATAGGAAAAAAGTATTATCAAAAAATATAACCAAATAATATTATTATTAATGTTATCAAAATTATTTTCACTTTTTTCCTTATCAATGATTTTTGACATTAATTAATTAATTAATTAATTGGATTTTAGGGTGAATATGGATGAGCCAAGAAATAGAGAAGAATCAATATGGAAACGTATCCTTACTCGTCCATTTATTATCATCCTAGCATTTTTTAGCATTATTTTAATTGGATTAAGTTGTATATTAGTTTATTTACTTACAAAGAAAACAACAACAATATGTCTAACAGCTGAATGCATTAAAACTGGTAAGTTAGAATTAATTTAAAATTATATTTTACAAATATTTAAGATGACATGCGGTTAATAAAATAGTTTTCTAATTATTTATTACTACTATTTGCCACTATTATTTATTACTATTATTTTTTATTATTTATCATTATTATTTATTACTATGATTTATTTTTATTTATTATTTCTTATTTATTACTATTATTTTTTTATTATTTATTACTATCATTTTGTAATTATTTATCACTATTATTAATTGTTTTTATTTATTTATTTATTATTTATTCATATTACTATTATTATTAATTATTTTTAATTAATATTATTAACTGTTATTGTTATTATTTATTAATATTAGTTAGCACTATATTAACTTATTTACTGAATTTTGATTTTCTTGCTCTATTTAAAAATAAAACTTAAGGTTTTTAAATTTTTTATTTTAAGCTAATTAATTATCTATACTACCTCTTTTTTCAATATTATCTTTTTGGATATATTATTTCGAATAATTTACTGTCATTATTATTAAATTGCATATTGAATGATTTGTTATTATAAATTAATTCTGTTTAATTTATTCATAACATAAACAAAAAAATATGAATATAATAATTATATGTTAGAGGACTTACACTATTTCTATCAAAACTTAATTATTTATCTAAATTGTATGCATAAAACTTAATTACTTACCTGCAATGCTTTGATATAAACTTAATTATTTGGCAAAATTACTAGCATAGGAACTTAATTACTTATTACCTGTATGTGCATATGCAGCATCGGTAATTTTGACATCAATGAATGCAAATATGGATCCATGTGAAGATTTTTATGAACATGCATGTGGAAATTGGATCAAAGAGCATCCGATACCCGACGATGCACCATCGGTATCAAATTTTGAAAATTTAGGACAAGATCTTGAATTAGCTCTAAAAGGTTTGTTTGATTTCTATTTACATTTGTCATTTTATACTTTCCTGTACTAGCAATTTTTCAAAATGAACTTTTATTTCAGTCTAAAAATTAAATGCTTTTATAGGACTTGAAAATAGGATGTTACAGGTCTACTGGAACAAAAGAATGCAGAAGGCCTGGATGGTGAAGCTGTACGAAAAGCTCGAGCGTTTTATCAGCTATGCCTCAATGAAAGTAGATCACTTCTGGTTTAAATTATCGATTGATTTGATGAAATTATGATGGTACTGTCGAAATAACAATAATTGTATTGTAATGATTTAAGCTTCGTTTCAATACTGATAATAAAATGCAAATTTTTTATATTTTTTAGCAACCATAATGAATACTTGGAGGGAAGCATTTAATGATGCAGTAAAAAATTTTGGTGGATGGCCAAGTTTGGAGGAATCAGATGATAAGCCAAGGATTCCAATCGAGCAAATGTATGGTGTTATGGTGGCAAAATTCAGAAGCGACTCACTTTTTAAAGCAACTGTTCAACCTGATGATAAAAACTCAAGGCAAAATATTTTGTTGGTGAGAAATTATTTGTATATATTCATGACAAAGAGATGTAATATTAATGATAACGACTGATAAGGAAAGATATTTGATTAATACGGCAGTAATGCTTTATTATTTCCAATTCTTTAGCATTTTATATCCGATAAGAGCTCTAAAGAAGTCTATACAGAAAACTGTAATTATAAAATTAGAATGCAATAAAACCTTTATAAATACTAAAATTTTGGAATTTTTAAAAAACCTGAATTGGCAAAAATTGAAATATAATATTGAAATTTATAGGTTGATCAACCAGCATTGAATTTATTCGCTCGAGACTTTTATATTTTATCGGAAACACAAGATGAACGACTGGCATATAGAACATTGATCAGAGATGTTTTGCTATTGTTGGAAGCTCGAGTTGAAGCATATAATCGTGATTTTGATGAAATTTTACGATTTGAAACCGATCTTGCAAATGTTTGTTCTACTCGATATTTCAATCAAATAAATTACGCCAAAAATATTAAGTTACATTCAATTTAAAAACAAAAAAAAAGTTCTTTAAGTTTTTGCGAAATATTAATAAATTAGTAAATTTTAAATTGAAAAATCAAGAAGATAATATTTTCAACGATCAAATTAAATCAATTCAGATTACATTATCCGAAGATCTAAGACATGATGTTGCTGAATTATACAACAAAATTACAATTGGACAGATGGAAAAGCAATTTCCAAATTTCAATTGGTTGCTATTCTTCAATACAGTTTTTCAGTGCGTCTTCTTTTATTTCTGATGATAAACAACCCTGAATTTATGTGAGATCAAAAAATAACTTGAAATAAATTGACAGTATAATATTTTACTGGTATTCAATTCGAAATATTGTTATAGAAATATCGGATCATCAAATGATGAAATAATAGTAATGAATGGTACAACGGAGATTGTCATTTATGGTTTGCAATTTATTAAAGAGCTTGACAAATTGCTACCGAAATATGATAAAAGGTTTAATTTAAATTTTAATTATGCAATCATTCTCAATAAGAATACTGTATCATTATACAGTAAAAGAATAGAAAAAGAAATTAAATTAATTTAATTTATAACAAAACGGTTATTGATTGTTGCATAATTTAGTGCTATAAATGCTTATATGAATCGCTGAAAACATTACTGTGAAATTCAATTCTTCATCTTTGTCCTTGCAAAGATATTATTTTCATCATTGTATTAATGGAATTAATTTTGAATAATGATACTAAATATAACTTCAAATAGTTAATTATGTATGCTTGGACCACTTTTTCTTGGCATCTTTTACCATTGAGATTTTCATTAAGAGCTTTTGCCTAAATAGCCAAGTATTTTTTTTTTTGCAACACATCAAAATGTAACAGATAAATTACAACAATCGACTAATTAACCTTCATCTAATTCTCTAAAACAGTTCTAATAGGATATATGTTAATGATAATTAGCCTGAAATATCAGAATGCTTTTTTACGGGCGGCATGTTTATAATTGCTCCAAAAGAATTTTTTTCATAAAAAATTTTAATATCCATTAATAATTTTTATTCCAAGGATAATTATCAATTATTTGGCATGGTGTTGGTTTTTCAAAACAATGCTACGCGATTTACCTGATCCTTTTGCACTAACAATGTTTAAATTTTACAAAAGTCTTAATTGTAAGTTTTTTAGCTTCAATTTTTTCTTCATTATCTTAAAAGTAAATCTTTATGTAAACAATCGATTGTTATAATTTGTAATTGCAAGAAGGAATTTATTATTTCGTTCGACATCTTTCTTCCTATCGAACTATCATTTTATATGAATGACCAATTGGTTTGATGTTAAAAAAATTCGCATTTTATATTATAATTCAAATAAGTTTGAAAAATAATTATTACTAAAATTTTTATTTATCAAATTTAACTTTTCTTTTCTTTTTAATTTTTAATTATTGAATTTTTATTATCAAAAAATGTTTCGAAATTATTTACAGTGATGCAGGTACCAAAAATGCGTTGGCATAGCTGTGTAACACGTATCAATAACTTGATGCCAATGGCCATATCAAGTGTTTATATTAGGAAGCATTTTGATAATGAGGCCAAAAAGCAGGTAAGTTAGATAAATGATAATATTATCTTATCATTGCTTCTTAATTTTTATTATCAAGAAATGTTCCTAAATTAAAATGATAACTACATTAAGATGACAAATAGTAACGAAATGATAATTATTCGAGTTGATAAATCATATCTGATTGATGTATATTACTGTTCATTATGAAACTGTTAAGTATTAACAGATTGATAGGAGAGCTATAGGTGTCACTAGACTGATAAATGTTTATCAATCTCGCAATACACACTAGACGATAAGAGTAATGTGTGTTATATGACTGATAAATACTATTTTTACAAGATTGATTATCATTCAAATAATAAGTGCAACCGAATTCCGGCAACTTTACATTTGCTAATAATACATGGAAATTTTTGCAACAATTCATGGCAAATATAGGATTTGACGTAACATTGTAAATTTAAGAATTATACATTTTGAATTCAATTTTTTTTTTGAATTAAAAATTTCCGGAATTTCATAATTTTTGGAAATGTTTATTTTTTACAGCAAAAGGAAGATGGAGAAAGTGATTGAAAAGGAAAAGATAACTTTTTTAGGTAGAAGAAATGATTGATTTAATAATGGCAGCATTTGTGGATATGTTACAAACAGAAGATTGGCTTACTGAGCGTACAAAAGAATTTGCTAAAGAAAAAGTATTTTTGAAATTTATTATTAATTCTTACTTAGTGCAAAATTAATTAATAAAAATTAGAGACAGTTAAAATGATAAATAATTTATAATTTGAAATTTTATTAATAATTTGAAAATGTTCAAGATTTATTTTTCATTAATCAAAAATAAATTAAAACATTTAATTCGATCGTTTGTAACATCCTAAATTTCAAGGCTTTGTAATATAATGATATGACGATAAGCAAACTTTTTGATTAACTTTCCAATGATATCCTAAACTGATGATTAAACCATTTATATCTTAAGCTTTGAAACTTTGTATTATGATGAATTAATGTAATGATATTGTACATGAAAAAATTGCGCTGCTAATATTTCAGATTGATACGATGAGTAAAAAAATTGGCTATCCGAATTATTTGGATGATTCAAAATTGGTAGATAATGATTATAAAGATTACATTGTTTACGAGGGCAATTATTATAAGACGAAATTTCAATTCTATCATATGTATCAAAAGAATATATTGGAGCGTATTACCAAGAAAGTTGATCGTGAAAGGTATAAACCTCAATTTTGATTAATTATTCTAGCAAAATTTTGTTATCATTTTTTATCATCCATTTTAACTACTAAACTTTGCGTTAATTAAAAATAATAATGTAAGTCACATGATTTTAAAATTTTAGATAGTTTTAATCATGTAATTTTAAAATTCAATTCCACAAGCTAGAATTAAATTATGGAACTTGGAAATTACTAGTTGGATATAAGTTATATCATTTATTTTTTTGTTTCTGGTATTGTTGAACACATAATTTCAAGTGCTTCAAGTAATCTTGTTAATTAAGTAATTAAAATTTCTTAACATTTATTTTATATGTAGTCAAATTTATTGATAAATGTGTAATTCTGTAATAAAGAAAATTTTAATTTCAAATAATTTGAATCCAAAAACTTTTTTTCCAGATGGGTGGCTGGAGCGGCACTTGTTAATGCCTTTTATAGCCCAAATACGAATGAAATAAGTGAGTGTAATATATCAAATTATATGGTTGAAATGCCTCACATTCTATTAATTTCTAAATTTTAGAAAATCTTATCATTTTTTTATTGTGATTACACGGGAAGCTTCACGAGAAATACTGTAAATGATATGACCTTTTTCAAGGCGTTACTGTAATCAGATATGGTACTGTACCCGTTGTACTATATGATTCGAATGAACAAATGCATACTTCTTTTTATTCGAATTTTATTTTTACAATTTTTATTTTTTTCGTTTATTATTTAAAATGATAAGTAATTTCTGACAAAAAACTATTCAGTATTTCCGGCTGGTATCTTACAACCGGTTTTCTATCATAAGCATTTTCCGCATTCCATGAATTTTGGCGGTATTGGTGTTGTGATTGGTCATGAAATTACGCATGGATTTGATGATCGAGGTAATTAAGTTACCCTTTTTATTTATATTCATGCATCATTTAGGTTCGAATCAGAAGTATATATTAGTTTCAAAAAAAAAATCAAATGAATAAATTGTGATCGAGGAATAAAAAATCGAAAATCTCATTTTATGCATAAAATTGTAGATATTACGAAAGCTAAAATTAAATCACCGGTAATTTATTATTGGTGATTTAATTTTAGCTTAATTGATATAAAAAATTCCAATAAATTTTAATGTTTTGATGTTGTTTAGATTTCAATACTAAAACCTTCATTTAAAGAAATTAAGAGAAAACAATAAATATTATTTTTAATAATTTTTTTCCAGCATTTTAGTTAATGAAAGATAACTTTACCTATGAGACATTAACCGCAATATTATATTATACATATTATATTATATTATACAGGACGATTGTACGATAAGTTTGGCAATATTCGACAATGGTGGGACAATGCGACAATTGAAAAATTTGAAACAAAAACAAAATGCATCGAAGATCAATATTCGACATTCGTACTTGAACAAATTGGCATGAAAGTTAACGGTCGAAGTACAAAAGTTTGTTGATCTTATTTCTATAGAAACAATCACATTTATGAATTAAATTTTATTTCCTAATTATTTAAATCAGGATTAGATAATAGATTAATTCTATCGTATTAAAAAAGTATATTAATTATTATATCAATTACTTTCACTTATGATTTATTTCATTATTTATTGTCTGTCATATACAACAATACATTATTATATATCTATTGGTGTTCATTAATATTTATTGTTAAGTGTACAAAATAGAATAATATATTCATTACATAAGTATTACATAAGTCATTACATAGGTATTATTAAATTGATCGATAATATGATAGTCTTTTCTAAGTTATTTCACAAACATTTTCTTAATATAACTTAGTCAAACATAATCGCTTCACAAATTTCCTTCCATGCAAGCCTCATTAAGTATGATCGTTCGAAAAAATAATTCCTACTGCAAACCTAATCATTCCACCAATTTTCTTCAAATACAAGCCTTATCAAAAAACATTTTCATACATTATTTCAGGGTGAAAATATAGCTGATAATGGTGGCTTAAAGCAGGCCTATAAAGCTTATAAAGAATATGTGCGGAAATACCCGCAACATTCACTCTTACCTGGTGTCAATTTGACGCATGATCAATTATTCTTCCTGAATTATGCACAGGTTAACTAATATTCATATATTTCTTTCTTATTACTAAAAAAAGGAGGAATATGTAAAATAATATTCTTTTTGATATTAATAATAAAAAGATAATTTCAATGATTTAAAATAATTAACTGAAAAAATTTTTTATTTTCGCAAAATTTCAACGATCGGTGGCTTTAAGAAAGCTTGAAAATATTTAATTAATTGAACATTTTGTCGTTTAATTTGAAACAGAAATATTTACAAAATTACATTTCAGATAATAAAAGAATAAAAAATGAGTTTTGATCGCAGATATTTTGCTATAATAAATAATTTTAAAGCTGTCACAATTACCAAATGAGCTAATAATTGAATATTTCTTTATCCAACAAAAATTGCAAAAAATGAATCGATGAAATATTTTAATAAAATTACTTTTAAAATAACAAAAACTATGCTGAAATATATGTTAGATATGCTAAAATATGTAAAAATTTTATGGCTGATAATATTGAATTTATGAAATATTTGCTCTAGCGATAAGTATATAGTAGTAAGCCTAAGTCTTTAATGTATAATCTTATCTTTAATACATAGATTAATCGATTGTTATTAGCCAATCAATTTGCTAATTATTTTTTTTAATTTGTTAGAATAGATTATAATCATTAATTGAAGATTTTTAATTAATCAGAATGATATTATCATCAAAAGGACAATTCGAATTGTTTTTTTATTCAAATTTTGTGAACGAAAATTTTTTTGTTGTTATGAATTGAATTTTTAATTTCATATTTGGTGTGGTACTATGAATGATAAAGAAGCAATAAGAAAATTACGTACATCCGAACATTCACCGGGATCGATTAGGTAAATTATTCAAATATGCAAATTACATAGAGCAACTTTTATTTCATCTGATAGCGAATAATAATCATTATTATTATAGCAATAATTTCATAATCTGTCTCTAATAAATTAATTGAAAACGACAATAATTTACAATGACCAATTTTAAAATTCTACATTAAATAAATTGGTAATAATGATTATTAAAAAATAATGTAATGAATGCAAAGATTAACATTACCATTTAATGAGTAATAAAATTAATTTTGTTACAGAGTAAAAGGACCGTTATCGAATTCGGAAGATTTTGCAAAAGCATATAATTGTCCATTGGGAAGTCCAATGAATCCTCGGCATAAATGTCGAGTGTGGTAGGATAGATGAATGGAAATAACTGAATTAAGTTGGAATTATATAAACAAAAATTGTTGAATGAAAGATTACTATCATTTCATTCGACGTGGGATGAAAGATCGGGCAGGGAATCAACGTGGGAAGGAAGGAAATTTAACAATTTCTATACTTTTACATTATTTCATTTTCATTTTCATAATTTTAGTTTGCGTGGTTTCCTTTTTTACAATTTATGCATTTTAATTCGATGATAATATCATTTTAGTAAAATAAAATTGTCATTTTGTTATGCTATGAATTTAATGATTTATTAATTAGCAATAATTAAATTAAATTTAATTTAATTAATGCATAAATTTTTGTGATTAAAAAATGTTTAGGAGACCCTTTGATGTATAAAATATTTCTTTTTCTAATGCTTATTTATATTTCTTTAAAAAATTTTACAAAAATATTATATAATTTGTATTGAACAATTATTGTCGCAATTTTTTACTTCTTATTGAAAATTAAAAAATGAAATGAAAAATAAAACATTTGTTTTAATTAAGAAATAATAAATTAAAAGTATACTTTTAATTAGTGGAATTTTTGCATTTTCTTCATAAAATAATAGAAATTCTTTTTCGTACTACAGAAGACAAAGACAATGGAAAATTATGTAAATTCCTTTTCATTTCATTTTTTGATTTTTTTTAAAATGAAAAATAAAATTTGATATCATAAATTATTTCATCATAAATGTAAGATTCATGAAATAATATTTTTGTTGAAGAAATAATAATATGTTGAAGAACAAAATAAGCAATATTTTAGAGGACTAAAACTGACGGAACATATAACCGAATTTATTTCTAATTAGCAAAAATATAGAAAAAGTGGAATTTGACTATTGAGCGTTTCACTAATATCCTATTGCCGTCCGCAGCCATAAAGCCGATCTGACGCTGCTGCAAACCAGAAAGGCTGATTAAACATTCATGGTTGCACATGTTTAATGTTTTCTATGCTTTATGTTATTTCTGCCATTTATCTCATTGATTCGAATGACTGTTTCAAATGATTCGGTAGTCACTATATCATGATTCGAATTTGATCGCTAGTCATTATATCATGATTCGAATTTGATCGCTAGTCATTATATCATGATTTGAATTTGATCGCTAGTCATTATATCATGATTCGAATTTGATCGCTAGTCACTATGTCATATTCAAATTTGATTGCCAGTCATTATATCATGATTCGAATTTGATCGCCAATCATTATATCATGATTCGAATTTGATCGCTAGTCATTATGTGATGATTCGGATGATTGATCATTTTCTAGATACGACAGAATATTATTTCCATGATTATTTCTTCTTCTTATTATTATTAATTTATTAATTGATTACTGTGCAAATTAAATTTTGAGAAGTAATTGTATTAAAGTGAAAGTTATGTGCATAAGCATTTTTGAATAAATGGTAGGGAAGTTTTAACTATATTATTGAAAATTAAAAAGTGTGCGAAATGGAATTATTATAGATCTCGCTATGCTAAAAATATTAACAGACAAAATTTAATATATTTAAGAAATTTCTCTTACTTGAAATTTGCAAAACTTTTAAGCATTCTAAAAAATGATTATATTTAGCTGAAATTAAACTTAGCCAAATATTTTGTTGGTGAAAATCGAATGACTTTCGTCCTTTAAAGATAAGATATTATTGATATTTTGAATGATATGGTTTGATTATCAAATTATGCTTAGAAAGAATTTTTATTACAAATAATTAAATGGGAAGTTTTTTCCCCTTTTGTTTATTCATTTATTCATTTTCTTTTTTCATTTGAAAAACTTCGAAAAATGCATTATTAATAATATTTAATTAATCTTTATTAAATGTTTACAGTAACTTTTTTTTTTAGCAATTTATTCGTTGTGAGATAATTGATTAATTCATTTATCAGTTTGTTATAGCAGTACTGATAAGAGTAATATGTTACCTATGTCTATTCTCACTTTCTGCCATATACGATATTGCAGACCATAACGGATTTTCGAATTTCAAAAAATTTCAAAAGTTCATGGAATTAAATATATTATTGGAAAAGATAATATATGCCATTTATTGGAACAAATATTTTAAATTTAATTTACAGCATTGTTTTATCAATATTATAGATAAAATTAGAAAGTAAAGAAGGAATTGAAAATTGAGAAATAATAAATGAATTGAAATTTGTTGAGCATGAAGTAGATAGCATTGTTATTTACAGTTCAACATTTTCTCTAATTTTTCCCTATGAATTTAAATAACTTATAAAGATCACTTCTTTTTATAAATTTGCAGTATTCCAAAACAATTAATGCCTATCAATTTAAAATGGTAGAATTTCAAATATTAGGATTACGATTGTAAATTTACAGCATTAAGGGTTAGTTCCTATAAATTTACGGTAATTCATTATGAAAGAAAGTTAATCAATACCTCAACAATTATTTAACATTCAATATCTCAACAATATTCAACATTTTAAGAAGCATAAGAGATTAAATTATTTACAAACTGAATTCATACATCAAGTCCTATCAGTAATTCCGATTTTCTATCTTCATCTTACTTCAAGAGAGAGAGAGAGAGAGAGAGAGAGAGAGGGAGAGAGAGAAAGAAAATCTTATGATAGTTGAATGATTGCCTGGAAATGTCATCTGAAGTGTCTTCTTCTTCAACTTACAAAAAATATTTCAAAAAAAAAGATGAAAGCAAATAGTTGTTGTTCAAATCGGTCGGCTGGTGATACTTGCACAGGGAGATTGTTGATCAAATGTGGTTATTGATAGTTGTGATGATTCAATATCGGAATGTTCCAAATTATTATTACGTGCTGAATATCTGAAATTAACAAAATCTATATCATATCATTTATGCATATCATTAATTGATAAAAAGGTTCCCACTATGTATATTTGTATATGTGAAAGTTTTTCTGTTTTTCTTAAAGTTTTTCACCAATTTTTATTAAACAAACTATTAAAAGATTCCAAAAAAAGGATTATTTCATTTTAATGTCTAATAAATTAATAAATTAATTAATGGTTAGAATGAAAATTTTATCAACCTTTGTCGAAGATCAGCTTCTTGATAAGGCAATTGATAACATGAACATAAACATATCGAAGCATCAGAATCAACTGATCTTAGCTTATCTTTTTCTTGTTTTTCCTTCCTTTTGCTAATTTCTCTACCAAGTGATTTCTTAACAAACGAGGAGTGTTTACGTTGATAAGCTTTTTGGCCGAGATGTTTTGTTACACGCACAAGTCCTGTTAATTATAAAATTAATTAATGCTAAATTTCAAATTAAATTGCAATGCTATATAGTTTAGAGCTAATAAATTGCATTATAAATTGGCATTAATTTAAAATCATAGTTTTCATTCGACAAAAATAATATTTTTAGAGATAATTCAATAATTTCAAAAAGCAAAAAAATGACACAATTCATTTTTAATATTTAACATTATGATATTATAAAAGTAATTTTTTAATTGTAATTAATTGAAAAATAAAATAATAAACAAACAAACAAAAAGATATATATATGTCAAGACGTTTTTAAAAAAAAGCCGTATTTTGAAAATTGAAATTATTTCAAAAAATGTAGAAAAACCTCGAGCAGCAAGTTGCGCTTCTTGTTTATCGCGTTTTTCATCCGCGGTATTCATTGTCAAAAATCGTAGCACAAATAAATTCATTGCCGCTGAGATAACTGTTAAACCGAACATAATAAAAATTAAAGCAAATGTTACATATTCCGGTGAACGTTGTAAAGCGCTATTATTTTGCAATGCCACATAATCACCAAATCCTACAAATATTTATTCTAAAAAATTATCTTTATCCTTTAAATGTATTATTATATGCGGAAACATTTGTGAATGTAAATAAGAATTAATTGTTTGTGAAATTTTTTTCTTTGCCAGTTGTTGATAAATTAAATTTAGAAACGGTTAAAATGAATTCTGAAGATGATTTAGCGATAAATTTTGTTTTATTTTGATATATAGTTAAATGTTACTCATCAATAAAAAAGGAGCTGTCATTAAGCTGATTCTAATTTTAGAATTCTAATGGAAGAAAATTTTGTTAGAAATATTTCCTGAAATTTGAAATGATTTTTAAGTATGATTTAAAATAGAGAAAAAAATAGCATCATTATCTCATGAAATAAAAATAAATTAGAAATCTCTGTTAAGCATTAATTTAAAAAAAGAAATTTATTGAAGTTTTAATTACAGTAAATTGATTTTGTTTTTAGTTATTTTAATTATTGCAACGGAAATGATTGATACTAACCGATAGTAGTTAGAGTAATGAAACAATAATACAAACTATCAAAATATGTCCATTTTTCATAAGTTTGAAAGACATAAGCCCCTGAAGCAATAAGTAATGTACCGCAACCTGAAGCTACGAGCATCAAATCCAAATGTGTAACCTTAGCCGGTTTCCCGGCTAAACGTTTACATATACGTAAAAGCATTGCTGCAAACGTATTGATCCTGAAATTTCATGTCATTTTAAATAAAACTATTTTGAAAATAATTTTTCATTGTTGATACTTATGCTTAAATTTTATACCTATTAGATGATGTAAATTTAAATGAACTTCTACCTGTCTGTGATATCACTATTAATGTCATAAAATATAATATTATGTATGAATTTCGTTACGAAATTAATATGTCCTATCGTTGGATTAATTTATTTTAAAAATTACGAATGATTTTAAGAAGCAAAAAATTTAGTCGTTATTCATATACATTATTCATATTCATATTCTTATTGATTTTCAATTGTAATTTAAAACGTTGTATTTTTCAAATTAATTTTTTCCCAAAATTCAACTAAATAAATTTGCCATAAATCATTTCATACAATTTAATATTCATAATTGATTGCAAAGCTAAATTATGGAATGGATAAACTGTTATCGTTGAAATTTATTGCAAATTCTAATTATTCTCAAATAAATCATTTTTGGTAAAAAGTTTTTATATTTTTGTTTTTGTTTGCTTATTGCAAGCAAAGCGAAGTATTCAAATACTTTTTAAGAAAATGCAAATTTTATGATTTGATTGGAAAAATTAATTACCTTTCGCCGATACTTTGAAACATAACAAGTCCCAAAGGAATGCCAGCAAGCGCATAAAACATGCAAAATGTTTTACCACCAATTGTTGACGGAGTACTGTGACCATAGCCTAAAATTATGATAAATTATCATGAATAATTAGTAGCGTATCCATTACTGCTGTTATCCTATCATATTTATATCAGGTATAACATAACTGTTATCTTTCTATTCTATCAATGAACAATTAAGCTATCAAGTTTATCATCTAAGTTTAGTTTGGGAATGAATAAGTTAAAGAAAGAATGATAATGGAATAATTTCCATTTTCATATTCATACAATTAACAGAAGAATTCGTAAATGATTTAAAAATAATTCAAATAGCTTTAGCATAATTAAACAATATCTAAATTTATGAGTAAAAAAAAAAAGAAATAAAATTAAAATAACGAAGATTTCAATAAAATAACTTTTATCAATTATTAAACAAACGGATAATATCGTCAGCACTTAGCAATATTTGTATCAAAAAAGAAAAATTAACGATTGATAATAATTAATTACCAATTGTGGTGATAACAGTGGTAGCAAAATAAAATGCACCGCTAAATTTCCATTGATGACCAGCACGATGACGCATTGATCTGATAATACTTGCTTCCAATACACGAAAATCAGCATTGCTGATATTATACTTATCGATTACATTTCTCTTCACTTTTGATGCTAATGCTCTCTGGAAATTTCATCATTTTAAACTTTAATGTATTTTACTTAAGATAATAATTAAATTTATATCAGTTATGAGACGTTTTCAATTTATTTTGTAACTCAACAAACTTTAAATATTTCCCTTTCAAAAAAAGAAAATTATGTAATACTAATAATATTTAAAAGAAAGTAATACCAATAATATTTTACAATTAATTATTAACTTACAAATATTTTGTAAATTTTTTTTAAATAAAATGTATGTATATAATATGTATGATATAATATATGATGTATGATATATAATGTATGATATATAAATAAATGTATGATATATAAATGTATGATAGATATAAATTTTTTATCGATAAAGGAAAAGGCTTAATCATAAAAATGTAATAGATTGATAGATTAATTATTAACGTAATTTTTTTCTTTTATACCATAATTAATTTGATAATACGTAAATTCATATCATGAAATTAATGCTATTAACATACCTGTTGCATTTCGTTATCAGATTCCAATGCATCAAAAACAGCAGCGCCAATAACTAAATAAGTTAAAGTACAAACAATTAGCGATAGCGTACGAATATTTTGGCGTTTCATGCCACATCACCGCCACATATAAAATTTCTCTTCTTTCCCTACCGATATGCTTCACCTTGTCCGGATATTGTTTGGGAAATTAGCAGGATACTCCTGTGAATTGCCATAAATATTCATCGATGCCAAGATAATTTCCCGGGAATGCTTAGAAATTTTGCTGAAATTGATAAAAGAATTAATATCGGAATAATGAGAAAGATATTAAGCGTTTCTACAGTAACATACAACAAATATTGTCTCTTTCACTTTTCCTCTTTTTTTTTTTGCAAATTAATTAAATTTAAAATTCAATTTAAAAAAGATAAAATTAATTCAAATTTAATTTCTAATTATATTATTGTAAAATATAATTAATTTCCCAAATATTTAATATTTTAATTTACAAATTATTAGGTAAATAATCATTACAATAATAAGTGAAACCATACGCTTCCAATTTGTTAGACATTTACTAATTAATAAAATTAGCTAATTTAAAATTGAAAACAAACTTATCGGCGATAGCCTTCGCTTTGCTGAATGAGCGAAACGAAGAAGAATTATTGACAGTAGCAAAAGCTTCCTTTCTTTTTCTTCTTTTTTTTATTTACTATGTATTTTGTGGTTAAAGCTAAAGTTGAAATTATTGATGAGAGAGAAAGAGAATGAGAAGAGAAGAAAAGAAAAAAGAAATAATATACTAGTGATATGTAATGAATTGATAGGAGAAAATAGAAGGGAAAAGAAAAAAGGGAATTTTTTCTACGTTTTTTTCAAAAATAATTTTAATATTTGCAAGCTAATTAATAGGAATGAATGAATTGATCGTTAAAATAAACAACTGAAAGTAATAGCAATAGTTATTTGTACGTTACATTTAAATGTATAATTTAATAAAGTTTGAAATGTTATTTTAAAAGAACGAATGATATTGTATTAAATATAACTGTATGTAAATTAAATTCTTTCATATTCAACTTTATTATAAATTTAAATTTGGCTTCAATATTTAAATTTAAATTATAAGCATTAATCTAACTTACAAAATTTTTTGTATTCAGAAATGAAATGAAATTTGATATTCAATTATATTGTTGTAAAATTTATTTAATTCCCCAAATAGCTTTATAAATTAGATTTAGGCCTATAATTAAAGAAATATTTTTGAAATTTAGGTACCTATAATTTAGACCTATGGAATTTAGGCCCATAATTTAAGTTTATTGTAATTTTGAAAAGAACAAAAAAATTGATCAAACGCAGAGGAAATGGAGAAAGAAGAAAAAGAAGATAAAAGATCGAGCATTATCCAATCTGATAAAATCTCTTAGATGGTATACGCCAAATTGATACCAAATAAAATCTCTTAGATGCTTATCTGTCAATTGGTACTAAATAAAATCTCTGTTGGCTATTATATTCATTAATATTTAGGTATTAATTACTTAATTCATCATATTTAAGCATTGATTTATTATTATTGAAAAAATTATTTTAAAGCGCAAAAACACTTTTTGTCTTTGTTACAATTCTTCTTCCTCATATATTAAAAGGGAATGTTTTTGAATATATAGAAATTGAAATTGGAAATGAAAATAACATAATTAACATAATGTGTGTTATTTGTGCTTACCATGCAATATTTCGTTCATTTTCATTCTTCAGGTATAACTCATTCACTATTATCGTTATTATTATTATTATTATTACTGATATTGTTAATCATTACTGTTATCATTGTTAAACTGTGCAATATTTAAAATCTATAGCAAATTCAATTAACTAATTAATCAAGAAGTAAATAAATAATACGAAACATTAGCGAACTATTTTCATTTAATATTAGTAAAAGGAATGAATATTTTTGAATTTGTATTTAAAGATGAATAAAAGCAGAATATAAATTTAGCGTTAATTTTAATTTCATTAATAGCAAAATACAAAAAGCCTAATTTTGTTAGATTTCATTATTTGTTAAAATAATTTATCACTATAATATTGATAATATTTTTGCAAGCAATTTTACCAACTCTTTCAGTTAAATAAAATTCTGTTAATAATTTCATTTGTTCAATATACACTTATACAAATTATTAAAACTTAATTTTGACAAGAAATTATTGAAGTAAACTTATTTATTCGTATCGTTCGAACTGAGCAGCTTGTCCATTGGAAAGAGAATAAGAAATAATTGTTAATAAATTTTTGAAAGTTTTATAAAATTTTAATTAAAATTAACTTTCAGGTATTCTCAAGATTAGAACAATAATTATTATTTTTCAGGTAAAATGATTGTATGATCCTGTATTTTAAAAATTTTAAAAATGACAAGAAAAGTTATTGTGAAAAGGAAAACCGAAACATACTGATAATGCTAAATATGAATTTTATAATTCAATTTATTATTTATTCTCGAAATTGATTAATTGATAATATTAAAATATTTAATGATAAATTCAACAAATAGTTTAAAAAACAAAATTTATTTTAGTTTAAGCTTTCATTTTTTTTTTTTTTTAAAACAATAACAAATGAATTATTCCAGTGAAGCAACAATAACAGCTGCAGCCAGCTTACTATTATCCTTCCAGCCGATAAATATTATTGATAAGAAATTTCGATTAATTTGAAAATTTCACCGAAATTTTCCCAATCTTTGTCATTTTGACTTTTTTTGGCAATTATGAAATTTATTATATTTCATTAAATTTATAGCGAATAATTTCATCATTAGGAGTAGATTTTATGGATGGAAATCGTTGTAAATTTCGTAATTTAATATCACAACATTTCATTAATGTTAATTAACAATTACTAATTTTTGATTAATTTTCGAAAACAAATGAAATCAGCAAAATTTTTTATTGTTTAAAGATTCCAATTAATTAAAAGAAGCAATTTTTATAAAAATATGTTTAGAAATTATCAATTTTAAATTAACAATGATGGAAATATAGTGATAATAAATTATCGGAAACAATGGAAAATTAAAAAGTAAAATAGCATATATAAATTTGAATGGTTCAGATTTCATTTCAAATCTAATTTCTATTGGAGGGATAGGAGAAATTCACCAATGCTAATCAATAATCTATCTTTCGCCATTGTAATGCTTATGGTAAACTGATTTGCTCAAATTTTCTATGGAACAGGTGGCTACACAGAGTGTTCAATGGTCGAAATAAATAAAAGTGAAGTTTAAGCTGAAGCAGTCAAAGGGGAAAAAAACGAAAAGGAATCCAAAGAGAAATTTAAAAATTTTATCTCCGAAGTGTGTGTGTATGTGTGTGTGTGTGTGTGTGTGTATGTGTGTGTGTGTGTGTGTGTGCGTGTGTCTGTTATGAACTAAAGTAAGAAATTATTCAATGAACAGCCATTTGCAAATTATTACTATTTCCCATACATAATTAAGATGAATTAATTAATATCTGTCACTAAATTGAACAGTTAAAAAATGAAATTGTTGGATAATTTGAAAAAATTTAAGAACAAAGAGATTATATTGAAATGAATGAATAAGAAGAATAAAATAATTAAAATTTAATTTTTAGGAATTCGTTTATTTTTTCTATTGAAATGAATGATTAATTTACTGATAAAATGAAGAAAAATTAAGAAAGAATTCCAAAATATTGATAACTTTCAATATTTTATGCTAATTATTTATGATTTCTTAATTATTTTATTATTAATTTAATATAATTAATCTTTTTTCTTTTTATGTTTGATTTAATTTGAGGAAAAAAAAAGTTGCAAAAAAATGAAATTTCACAACTTTCCTTGTTGCCTTCCTTATCTCTCTCAGTGATAGTATCACGTAAACAACTTATTTCACGTCGCTTTGATATTAAATTAGAAAACTTTAATGTAACCTTGGGCTATCAAATTTGAAATGCTTTCAAGTTATTTATGATATAAGACTTAATTTTATAACTTAATCGATCGTTTTAATTTGTTAATGATACTAACAAGTATTATTTGATGGGAAAAAGAAGCGGACAGATGAATAGAACGATAATTTACAACCGAAATTACGAATTTCATTTCTTTTTTTATTACGCATAAATTATTTTATATGAAATGCTTAAATGAATCTGATAAGAATTTATTTCTCTCATTGTTAATAATTTAATCTATAAATTCTAATTTGTTATTAGCATTGTTTTTCTGAAGAAATTAATTCATCGTAGAAATGGGAAAATAAAAAGAATGAATACTTTTATCTGTTATCAGATAAAAAACAAAGACTGATAATTTCTTGTAGTCTTATATAATTTATCGTTGCTATTTTAATGTGATTCAATTGTTGTATGATTTATTTTTACCGCAGATAGTATACTTTATCAAGTGTTATCCGATTAAACTTTATTATTGGATAATTTATCTTAAATGATTTCCCTTTTACGTAATTTACATTTATCATTATACGTGAGCTATTTATATGATTCAATGATACGTCGTCATTTGCTTCTTCAACAGATGCGATATTATCTATTTTGATTACATTCTTTCCCTTACATTTCTTTTTCCTCTAAGATAAGTTTGTTAGCTTTTTTCATTTCATTCTTTATTTTCCTTTCATTTAAAAAATTAAAGTATCGATTTTGTTTTTCATTTCAAATTATAATAATAGAAATAAGGACAACAGATAGTATATGTGAAATAAATTCTTTTTTCGTTGTTTTGTTGCAATTCGATCGATAATTCATTCATTCATTCAGTAATTCATTCATTCATTCAGTAATTCATTCATTCATTCAATCATTCAGCAATTCATTCACTCCATTTTCAATCATTCAGCAATTATTCATTCAATCATTCATTCATTTAATCATTCATTCAATTATTCAGCAATTCATTCACTCATTCAATCATTCAGTAATTCATTCATTCAATAATTCAGTAATAATTTCATTCTTATGTTTAATACAAATTTTAGTTTTTTATATTTATAGCAATCAAAATTTGATTATTTCTTTTAGCATTTCTTATATTTTATATGTTTGTTAATTAAAAAAAATGAAAAATAAAAGGAAATGCTTTATCGAAATGAAAGAAACAAAGAAAATCGTTCTAAAACAATTTCATTAGTAAAATTTTATAAAAATTATTTCAAATTAATGCTAATTTGCATATTTGCAAAAGTTTTCGCCAATTTTTTTAGCCATTCATTCATCAATTCAAAATATAATATTTTATTGATTATTTAATGAAGAATAATTGGTAAATTTCACTGAGAGCTCTCAAATAGCTTCATTTAATTCAATTGATAAGCTATCCATTATCATATACTTCATCCATCATTATCGATTAAATGACTAAATTAATAAATAATCCTTTTCTTTTTAATTTTTAATTTAAAATTCTCTCTTTAATATTTGTTTACACATTTCATTCGTAAAATATAATTTTCGATTCATCTTTTTTACAGATTCTCAAGTAAACGTATCATTTTGTTGTTATTCATTTAAGTTGACATCATTTATGTTGACAGCGAGGGAGAGAAAGAGGGAGAGAGAGAGAGAGGGAAAAAAACGAATAAAAGAAGAAAAGAGGCAAATTATTAAAGTTTTAATCAATTGTCAAATTTTGTTGTTACATTAGTCTTAGCGAGCTTCTCACTTCCCTTACTTAGTAAGTATATCGATTGAGCCTAAATCAAGTAAGTGAGTGAGTGATAGGATATTTTTCTTCTCCTCCCATATGGTAGCATTGAGCCTGATAAAGAATGCCTTATGAAAGTCTAATCGTATTGCTAGGCCATTAAATCAATGTGTTAGTAGACTGAGTTAGTTAGTCGGTTATTCAGAAAAATAGAATAGGAATATCCCGTTGAGAGCTTTTCGAAATCAAGATATCTTCATCCTATGATAAGCTATGATAATCATATCTTTTCCTTTGTTATCATTCTTATCAATTTTTTGCCGTTGAATTTTCTGCTAAAAATTAAAATTACACAAAAAGAGAAAATTAATTCTTCGAATTTTAGCAATAAAAATTAAATTTTTAACTTAAATTACATAATAATTATTTTCCTCCGAAATTTTAATATAAATGTTTCATTTTTCTTTTAGATTTTATAATATTGTTGGTACTTTGAATGTATTTTATTCCTAATTTAAATTCTTATTTCATTTCGAATATTAATTATTTCGATAAAATTTTATTCCTTCAAAAAGGCCTTTTTTTAACAATTCATATTAACAATTTCTCATATTTATGTACTTTTTATACAATTATCGATTTAATGAGAAAAAAAGCGAAAGGAATTTTTTCCAGATGTTTTATATCATCTTTGTATACTCGTATTATTATTGGTCATAAGATAAAAAGAGTGAAATAGGCCTATTAGGCCTATCTATTATTTAATGTTGTCTGTTAGCTTATATGCAAGTAAGCCTTACTTATTTTCATTTCTCTCTCATCTTCTTCCCAAATGCTATCTAGTTTGAATATTATCAGGAAAAAAAAAATGTCATTTGAGTTTAATTAAGCATCCGTAAAGTTAATGCTTTATTTCGATTAAGCTATGCGATAAGAAATACCGGATTAAAATTTCAGATATTATATCTATTTTAATTATTTCATCATGCATTCTGAATATACTGATAATATGTTAAATTAAGGAAATACAATATGATTAAATTTATGCTTGAAAATCATAAATCCTCTTCTTTTTTTATTATTATTATTATTAACATCTGTTAAACATGTTGAATGGAATATTGCTGACAGTTGTACCTGGATGATTCATTCATTCATTTTTGTTCTTCCAAAATTTTCGACCACTTTAATCGTTATCATATTTCAAAAATCTCTTCAAAGATCAACGATACATTTTTGAATGCTTCAAGTTTCAGCTAAAATATTCCAATGAATCGATGGAATAGATTTTGTCAACCATTTCCATAAATTAATTGTAATATATTAATAATAATATCAAAATGATATTCTCTACTAAATTATTCAAATTAAATTTGATATTAAACTTTTTGCTAATATTTGAAAAGTTTTTCAAAAAAGCAATTTTATGATAAATTGATAATAATATAAATAATAATTTTGATAATTTTTTTTTTGCTAATTATCATATTTCTAAAAACTTCAATAAATTCATTTAATATTTGAAATTAAAAATGTTTATTTCTCAAGGATAATAACTGTTGTAAATGGTTGCTTCTTATGGAATATACTATGATTTAGATTGTTGTATTCTTAAAGCGATATGATAATTTTATGAATGAAGGAATAAAATTGAAATTTAGAATTTCAAAAATAAGGACGAAATTAAAATGAATAAAGAAGAAAGTGAAATAATCCGAGAACCGATGGATTCGCTGTTTTCACGTGAACAACTTCAGGATAATAGCAATGAGCCGTGGTGGCAAAAGTAAACGCTTTTAAATTTCATTTTTTAAAAATTTATATTTCTCTTCTTAGTCCTAAAACTCTTCTCGTATTTTATTCCAACCTTTTTTTTGCATTATTATTTTGTCATAAATTTAACTATAAATTATATACAAACGCATATTTTATAATCTTTTTATTATTTATAAAAAATAATTTTTAGTTTTTTTATTTAATTAAATTAATTATTAAACTAAATCTATAAAAAGTAAATTTAAAATAGAAAAATTGTTATTGTATTGAAATAATAAATTTAACAGAAATTTTCTCATCACTCGACCATTATTATTTGGTACTTGGGATGGTGTTTTTACCACCGTTTTGGTTAATATTTTTGGTGTTATTGTATTCCTTCGTATGGGATGGATTGTGGTTAGTGTTTTTTGCATAATTACTTAAATAATATTTAATTAATTAAATTATTTGAAACAAACGATTCTCTTAATTTAATTTTAAACCTAATCTTTGATCTTTTTAATTGCCAAAATTTTTTACTTTTTTCTGCTAACTGAAAAATTTCAAATCGATCAATTTACTTTTGCAGGGAATAGCTGGCGTAGTAAATTCAGTTATCTTACTGATTATTTGTACAACTCTTGCATTAATATCTGTCTTCTCTGCTATTGGTATTTGTGAACGATGTCAAATTCAAAGTGGCGGCATATATTTTCTTGTGTCAAATATACTTGGTGGCCAAATTGGTGGCGCTGTTGGCTTAATGTATGCTTTTGGACAGGTAATAAATGAATATGAACTTTTAATTATTTAAAACAAAATAATTTAAAAATGACAAATGTGTTACAAAGTTAGTATTAATTTAACATTCATTAATAAAAATTTTTTATTAATGCTAATTTAGTTAAATGTTAAACACTGTTGATTAATTGTTAATTTATGTTATGTATTACCTAGAAGCTATTTCGACCATTTTTTATAAAATGTAATAATCATAATTTTCTAACACTAATTACACTTTTATTAATTTAATTAATACTTCGAAAGTAATTTAATCTTAATTTTTTATCTTTCGGTAACTAATATAGCTTTAGTGACAACCATCACACGTGGTGTATTTTTAAATTTAGAACTACTCAAATTTTCAAATTTCTTCATTTAGTTCTTTTAGTCGGTTGCAACTGCATTAGTTGTTATTGGTTTTGGTGAAAGTATCGCAGGTTTTTTTGGAATTGAAAATTCGTTTATTTATAAATTCGTTGCTATTATGGCATTACTTGCTTTGACAGGTTTTTTAATTCAAAAATATTTATGAGAAAAATTTGCAATTGTCAAGCTTTTGTTAATTCATAAAGACTATATCTTTTAAAATTAACAATTAACAATTAATTATGATCGATTTTAGAGAATTGGATTTGTTCTAATTAACTTAGTGATAATAATTATCAGCCCGAAATTCAGTGCTGGAAAACTAAACAGTTTTTAACTTAAATTCGAATAATATTATTCAAACAATAATTCATAAAATATTCTATTCTATAACTTATCAAATATTATAATTAATTAACTTTTAAGGAATCAATATGATTGGTGTACGTTGGGTTATTCGATTACAATTGATATTATTAGTATTTTTGACGCTTGCTGTTATTGACTTTTATATAGGAGCACTATTTAAAATCGATATTGGTTGGTAATACTTATATCAATTAGGTCAAATAGAGAAGTTTACGTCAAATTTCGTCAAATTAAAATTATCAACCATATTTTAAGAATCAGTTGATTTATATGTAAATTGAAAAAATGCACGTTGTAAAGTAATTATTATCATTTCACAAAATTTTGACGCATTTCTGTTCAAACGTATTGTTTTTGTTTAGTTTTGAAAATATAATTATTTTAATTTACTAATATTAGAATTTCTTAAATGTTGAGAACATGGCATCGGGAAATTCTCTGTGTTACGATTTAATGAAAATATGAATCCAATGTACGATGGTTTTAATTGTTCTCAACTTGGCTTCGATACACAACAAATCAGCCAAAACTTTTTTACCGTTTTTGGTGTATTCTTCGCGAATTTTCTCGGTGTTTTAGCAGGTTTGTTCTGTGAAAATTTTTAGAAAAGTAACTTTTTATCGAATTAATATGGCAAGTTTTAATTTTGAATTTGGAACATTTCTATTTCATTTTTTTTATTAATTAAATATTGTTTTATTCAAAATTTGTGTTCATTAATTTGCATAATCGTTGTAAGAAATACAATGCTTAAATTTAAAAAATTTTTGAAAAAATTAGTAAATATAATTTTAATTTAGTAATTCGAAAAAAGCAAATAATTCACTTAGCGTATCGAATTAATCTGAAATTCAAATTTGGATTGAAAAGAATGAAAAAGATAAATCAGTGAATAATAATTAATTAATTTCGCTTTCATAGTTTTTATCAATTGAAATTTTTGTGATATAAATTTTAAAAATGATAGAAATGATTTGAAAAAACCAAACTGATGCAGGTGTGAATATGAGTGATGACCTGAGAGATCCACAACTCAGCATACCTGTAGGTGAATTATCTGCAATTTCTGTCAGGTAAATTTTTTTTTCAAGTTTCAAATATTAAGAAATTGTAATTTACGGAACAATCGACATCATATGAATTTATTAACAAACTTACAGATGGATGCGGTAAACTGATTGTTTATCTTAATTTCATCAAATGACAAATTCTTATGAGAATTAATTTCATCAAATAATCAATTGTTGTGAGAAATCTTTTCGAAATTATAAATCTAACCGTCTTATGATCATCATTGTTCTAAATCATGCTTCTGCTTCTTCCAGCTTTCCATCCTTATCATTCTAGCAACATTACAATTTCATCTTCCAACTACTTTTTTTAGAAACTCAAGTCATTTCAAATTTATATTCACCTTCATTTTGCTTATTAGACCATATTCAAAAGAATCGATTATATCACCGGTTAAGCATCCGGAATAAATTATCTTTTAATATTCACTTTCACAAATAATCGTTTTACTGCGAAATATATAATGACAAAATTATGGCTAGAAAATGAAATTTCAGATTTTGTAACTTATATGAAATTAAATAATAGTAATAATAATTATAGATTAAGGAATGAATTGTTTTTTGAAATAGTTTACGATATTATGCTTTTCTTAATAAGCAAAGAATTGACGTAGAATGTATTTTGTTATAAAATGATTTCGTTCAGATATGCTTTTTTTTTCAACTAATTTCTTTCTATTACTCTTATGATTTAATTAATTAATTCAGTTCGATGATTATTCTAACGTTCATACTCCTCTTTGGATCATTAGTTAATCGAGTTTATCTGATCTGTGATACGTTGATTGCTGCGAAAGTATCAATTACGGGATTTTTCTATCTTACCGGACTTTACGTTTCATCATTGAGTTCAACGGTTGGCACATTGCTTGGCACTCCACGAGTTATTCAAAGTATCGCTTCTGAGGGTATCATACCACTTCTCAATCCGTTAGCAGTTGGTGTATGTTCATTTTACTATTATATTTAATTCTAAAATTACAAATTATATTCCTTCAAATTAACAAATTAATATAAGTCATTTTTTGATGTTACTAATTACGAAGTTAATAATTTTAATTCTTACAGTGTTATACTCCATCTCTTTCTGTACCATTCGTATTTATAATATCTTTATAATCATAATAATTATTATCTCGCTTCCTTCCCCCCTCTACCTCTCTCTCTCTCTCTATAATCCATTCTAATTATAATAATTATTGTATATTATTAATTGATATCAGCAAAGATTACAAATTAGATTTTTTAATTCTAACAAATATTGTTTTTCTCTTTTTCAGCATGGCGCAAATAAAAGTCCACTACGTGCAAGTGTTGTAATGATGCTAATTGCAATTATTTTTGTATTACTTGATGATTTAAATCAGTTAGCAATCCTTTCAACGATGCCATTTTTGATAACTTATGCTTTCATTAATTATTCTTATGTTTCATTAGCGATGAGCTATGATCTTCAAGCTGTCAACAAATTGACGTATGATTTCAATTCCATTTTCTTCTTTTAATTAATTCTTACGTAAACATAACGTAAACATTCCATTTCATTCATCTCTTCTATTATTTAAAAATGTTAATTACATATTTTGACTCATTTAATTGTACTCTGACAATTCATTGCCATTCATAGTGCTACAACAAAATATGGAAGTATGGGACGTTTAAAAGATGATGGAATGGATAATCGTGAGGAAGATGCCACCAATTTGACAAAGTTATTTCCGGAAAGAAATTTACATAATTTACCAAGTACTAATAATATAATATTTCATAAATCAATAATTTCTCCATAAATTCAAAAAGAACTCAAATATATATTATAATAATTTAATGAAATGAAATGTATATAAATATATATTATAATAAACACATTATAATAAAATATATATATATATATATTATATACAATATAATAAAACGAAATATGGCTGCTATAGTTCAATGAAAAATAAAATATATATTATAATAAAACGGTAAAAAAAGATCTTCAGTGATAACAAATGATAATAAAGTATTAAAAGTGATAATTTTGCTAATGATGTATTTAATCCAATTATTTGAAATGAATACTTTAGATGAAGAAGAAAGTTCCAGTTCCATAATTAGTCAACCACGTACGTGGTATTCAATTTTCAGTAATCGTTACATATCACTTATCGGAGTATGTGATTTCTTTTCTTTTTTCCAATACTAATTTAATATTTCATTGTTTTATGAAATTTTATCCACCAATTAAGTTATTGAATAGCAAATTCAACAAAATTTAATGTAAGAAATAAAGAGAAAAAATTTGATTAATTCGATGGAACTCTTTTCCTTTTTATTACTTTCTTATTATCATTAGTGGATAAAGTTTAACAAATAATTAATTAAAGCATATTCGGCTAATTGTTGTTATTGTAATTGTTGTTATTTATTCATTTCAGGCTATTACAAACATCCTTATAATATTATTTATAAATTTTTGGTATGCATTGCTACATCTGCTAGCATTAGCAGCTTTATATTATTATATTGGGCGCGTTTGTCCATCCGTTTCACCCGGTATGTTTTCTCTTATAATTAATTTTAAAAGCATGTTTTTCCTGGCAATACTAAATTATCATAGAAAATGCTTCTTTCTTTTCATTTAATTGTTGTAATTTTAATATGTATGTGTTGAAAAAAATTATGATCTCTTATCACTCACTACATTATCTTATTATTAATTATTTTGCTCATTTATTCGATAATAATACAAAGCGATACATTATGTACTGATGAAATTAATCAATGCAATTATGTGATATTATCAGCAATGCTTTTTATCTTCAGGTATCAGTCAATTCTCACTTCACCATATGTTTAAGACCGCATTTTCAAATATTGAAATAAATAACACAGCAAATTTTGCCAATGTAATTGCTGCGAAAAATATTGGTATTAGTCCGGAAGTGGAAACCACAACTATAAATGAGGAAAATCCGGATTATTCAAACCGGAAACGTTATCATCATGCTGAACAAACCGAAGCAGTTATAAGTGATCTATATTAAACATTAAGCCATCAATATCAAATGATTTATTCTTCTTTTAAATAAATTAAACTAAATTAAAAAGCAATATTACTGTCGTTATATGATAAAGCAAACAAATATGATAAATTAGAAAAGTAATAAATTTCTGTTTGAAATGAAAATTATCAATGAATTCTCTATGAATTTTAAATTTCAATTTTCTCTGTCACAATTTGCTTATTCTTTAAAACAATAATTCACTAAGTAAAAACAAAAAAGAAATAATTAATCAATTATAATTCATAATTATTTCATTCTGTGATAAAAATTTTGGCTTACTTTATTTTTTTCCATCCTATAAAAGTGCTTTGTTTCTATATGAAATGCAATTACAATTCATTTTTTATCAATCAAAAAGCATGGAAGAATTAAATTATTAAAATTTCAAATTTTAAGTAATTAATTTCCATTTTTGTTTTATTCACTTTTTCTCTTTTTCCAATATATTTATGTTTGTGTGTGTACAAATTTTCGTTTTCTTTCGTTATCATACAATTACAGTAAGTTTTTCAAAATTCTTTTACATATAAATCGGAAATTCAAATAAAAATATTTACAATAAAGTAATAGTTTACAATGAAAATAAAAGTTTGGAAAAAAAGATATTAAGAAAGTTATGAAATTTAATAATAAAGAAGACAAAGCAAAAGGTAAAAAGAATTAATTAATAAAAATGAATGAGTAGATAATATGAAGAGAAGTACAGAAATAAACAAATTAAAATAGAAAAAATTTTTTCTAAACTAATTACATTAATCATTTCTTTTGCAACAAAATTGAATTAATGATTCTCTTCAAGGTATTGTTTAAATTGTTTAAAAAAATTAAATTTTAATTTAACATTTAAAATGCGCACGTATCAAACAATTATTTTCAGAGTTATCGATTGATATAATGCGATATTTTAAAATATTACATATTGATTGATTGTTCAATGAGTTACTAAAATAGCAAATGTCGATCGGTTTGTCCAATGAGTGATGATTGAATTATCAAATATCGATTGATTGACTAATGATTGATTTAAATATTAATGCAGCAGATATCAACGGAACATTTCTATAATTTTGATAGTAACAATCGATGATTGATTTTCCCTATTGAATGACTAAAATAGCAAAATATCAATCAACAGAAAAATCGATTGATCAATCAATAAATAGCAATTATCGATTGATCTTTTGCATTGAATGATTTATAGAAAATGATTAATCGATGCAAGAATTTTACAACGAAAAAAAATGAGGAAAAAGCATAAATGTTTTAAGAAGAGAAATTTAAGGGAAGAGCAAATTTGTTTACAAATCATAAAAATGGTCCAAATTTTCTTAAAATGTGCAATGGTAGTTGTTGCATCTGTCATTAACCATTCTGTGTTATCCATTTATTCACTTATTTTCCAAAAATTTTCCCGAATTTTCTATAGGCCAGCTTTTCCAAGAATTTCTACACAAAATATTTCCTCCTAATTTTCAATTGCGATAGCTTTTTTTCGTTTCAGTTTTTGAATATTCAAAGATTAGAAGAAAAGCATTAATAAGTGATATTAATTAGCAAATGATATTTTTACCTTTTGAATTTCGGCATTTTCTTTTCTTTATTTCAGCTTCATGTGTGGACCAAACTATTTTCCATATCCAAATGGTGGAATTATTTGTGGATTAACAATGTAAGCTATCTGAAATCATTTTTTACATCGTTCTTCTAGTAATTAGAAATTCAATAATGATTAGAATTTATGATTTATATTATCATGATATGGTATCTCTTGTTAACATAATTATTATTATCATTAATTTTTCATTTTTCGTTAAAATGATAAATAATTACAAATTTGGTGAATAATAATAATAAGCAATTGCATAAATAATTTTCATTTTTGTAAAATGGTAAATAATTGTAAATTTGATGAATAAATGATAAATAATCGCTAATTATTATTATATATTACGATAAGAAATAAATAAGTGAAACTATCAACATTTTAATAATTAACCGGTAATTATCATGAACTTACCTTTATTCGGAAATTCCATTCAGCATTGTAATATTTCAGATGCGTTTGCTTGTGTTATCATTTTCATTAACATCAAAATTATATTCAAGATTTTAATATCTGCCGATTTCATCAGTCTTTCTTTAATCGGAAATTTTATTCATAATTATAACTATCAATCTGTGCTGATTTTTCACTACATATTTTTTTTTTCAGGAATTTATAAAAGTTTTAAATTAGACTTAATTTTTATTGCAGATGTCCTGATGAATCAATTTTTCATTATTATTATTGTTGCTACGGGTTACTAGGCGCTTGTTGTTTCTATCTAAGAACATGGATTATGTTAGTCTTTTTTCAATCTAAAAATATTTTCATTTAATTTTTTGATAGTTATCTTTATTATTAACTATAATGCAATATATTAAATTGCAGAATGATATGATAAAGATAAGATCGTATAGATTGTTTGCATAATTTATTGCATGCTGCACGCAAGCAGCATATAGTGCATGCAAAGCACATACATTCATTTATGTTGAATAATATAACATTCTTTCTTAATAATCCGAATGTTTGCTTGCTTACAGCAAAGAATTCCATCATCAGTACAATTAACGAATAAATCGTTTAGGAATAAGAATTGAATAATTGAATGGAATTAAAAATTAATATAAAGAAATAGCATTAAATAATATAATGAAAAAAAGGCATTATGAAAATATTCAAAATATCAACATATCTAGTTCATTAATTAATCGATGAATTGATTGATACGATCGATTGATTAACTTTAGTTGATTAATTAGAATTTATCAAATATATTATAATTTGTTGTGTATTACTTATGTATGCAAATAATAATTATTTCAATGTATGAGAAATGAAATGATTGCTAATTTTTTAGAATTTTATTGATGGTAATCAGTCTTTCGTTGATCCTTTGTGCAGTTGCCGCCGCTGTCGCAGCTTTTTCAAGAAATCGTCAACAACGCATACCAACCGCTGATAATACTATCAGTCCTGGATATGATGTTCATTATCATCCATCACGCGATCGTACCGTATATTATACCGATCATTGCAGAGATCGAAGCCTTTAAATTTAATGTCACAATTTTGACTAATTATTGTTATCAATTATTGGAATCAACTTTACTGATTGTCTATTCAACGATTTTTTCATTGTTTGTGCAACGCCGAATACTATTTTAAAAATCTAAAATGTTTCTCACGGTATTAATTTTTATCTAAGGAAAGTTTCGACGATGACCAGATGAAATTTCAATCTCAAAATAGAATTCAATTCAAGGAAAACATATAACTCATTACTTTCAAACAATATAATTGCAATGTTAAACTTTTTCTTAATTACATTCAAAACAAAAAATTTTGAAGTTATTTTGAAGAAATGAATTTTTTTTCGAACAATTGCAAAGTTAAATATCGAACACTCACACTGTTTACGGTTGAGGCTGGCAAGAAGTGTGATGATGCCAAGGATGAAGTTCAGTTGTTCCGGTAAGAAGTGTAGTATTTCCAAAAGCTTAAACAAAAACAAAAATTTCTTTTTTCAACTAGCTATAGGATTAACGGAACAACTGAAATTGAAGATTGTAAAAGGGGACCAAAAGGTTATGTTCTGCAACGCTTATTAGACTGTTATTTTTAAATTGACAAAAAACAAATAAAATTTTATTAGCAACTAATCACATATAATAACAACTAGTCGTACCCAAAAGAAAACAAGAAACCGATCAATTAATCCCGAAAATAGGAATGAAAGAAATGGAAGAAAGAGCTGATACGTAATAATGATAATAATCTAAGAATTAAGGAAAAAAAAAACGATTTTAAAACTCAAATTTTATTTGTTTATAAATATATTTTGGCAAGCGATGATTGATATTATTTTATGGAACAATTCGATGATATATTTCTTAAGCAAACTAATTAATTAGAAGAGTAAATAGAAAGGGACAAGAAAGAAAGAAAGAGAAAAACAAACAAGATAATTCGGATAAATAATTCTAGAAAAGATAGATAAGGAAGAAGAACACATAATTTTTGATGTTACGTAAAGAATGTAAATGTTTAATTGTAAATGCAATTCGAATTATAATTAGCAAGAATTTTCGCTCATTTACGTAATTGTTTCTTAAAACAATACGATAACTAAAACAAAAAGTTACTTTTCCAATTTCTTTTTTATTTCGCTATGAATAAAGAGAAATGTTTTAAAAAAAAAATTTGGTTTCGTTTTAAAATTATCACTCGGATTGTTCGCCATTCTTTTGCCCAACCATGTGTACAACGATTACCGTCTTTTTCTTCTTTTCTGAAATATAAAATTTGGTAAAAATTTTTTTAATGAAAATTTCTCATTAAATAACACACACATACACACACAAAAATGACATATTGATTGATGACTGTAGGATTCATTTCAAAAGAAATTCAAATTTTGAAAGCATGCTAATATATATATGTATCTATATGATGATGATAGAAATATCTAGCCTTTTTTTTTTAGCTTATAAGAAAATTATAATGATAATATATTTTAAAGCATTAGCTGCAAATATTTTCCTTAAATTTTTCATATTTTAATTTCACTAATTCTTTTTCAATCTTTTCTTAAAATAGTTAAATTATTATCAAATGAAGAGGAAAAAAAATGACTTGATATTTTAATAAAATTTCAATTCAATCAAATATCATATCATATCATATAGGAAATGAATCATACAATCATTACTCTCAATTAAATTCCTTTTATTTTAGTATTTATAGCAAATTAAGTAAGAGCAAAAATAAGTAAACTAAAGTTTCAAACATAAATTGCTTATTACTTTTGTTAAAAAATACTCACTTTTGTTAATGGAAAATACAAAAGCATGCTTAATGCTGAAATTACTAAATATTACTGAAACATTCATGCAAGAAATATGAATGTATAATGAATTAATTAAACTTTCATTAGTTTGAGATAAGTGAAATGAGACATTAAAAATTGAAGATTAAATTAGATGCCAGGATGTATTACCTCCATATATATATATATATATTTTAATAATGAAAATATAAAATCGATGCTGCTATAATTTTTATATATTTTAGTTTCTTTCTTAATTAAAAAGAAATTTGTGAAAATTAATCTACCAATTGTTGGTTTGCATTTTATTATATGGTACTCTTTTTGGCACTTTAATATTTTAATTGAGTTTTATTAGAATGGAAGTTAAAACTGATTATATGTATAATAAAAGCGGAAGAAAAATAGAAGATGGAAAAGGTCATTGAAATTATTAAGGAATTTAGCCGAATTTTGGTAATTGCAAAAAATGTAAAGATTATATTTAAATTTATTTCAGTATTAAGTTTTGGTAATTTTCAAACTAAGGATGTGATAAAATTTTGAATTTTATCAATGGATAATAATTTTGATAATATGGAAGGATTGTATTGAAATGAAAAATATAAAGCGAATAAAATTGAAGAAAGAAAAAGATGAAAAAGGAAATGAACGAATTCGAATTTAAAGAAAGTTCAATGAAAGAAAGTTCAATGAAAAAATATTATTTATCAAAAAATGCTTCTTAAAATAATTTCTGATAAAAACAAAAAGATAAAATGAAATGAAAAAAAGAAAAGATATGCGTGATAATAAATAGGAAAAATGTGAAGCTTTTNTGGATAATAATTTTGATAATATGGAAGGATTGTATTGAAATGAAAAATATAAAGCGAATAAAATTGAAGAAAGAAAAAGATGAAAAAGGAAATGAACGAATTCGAATTTAAAGAAAGTTCAATGAAAAAATATTATTTATCAAAAAATGCTTCTTAAAATAATTTCTGATAAAAACAAAAAGATAAAATGAAATGAAAAAAAGAAAAGATATGCGTGATAATAAATAGGAAAAATGTGAAGCTTTTATCCATTTTAATTTTTCAATAATTTATTTTCATCAGACAATCAATAAAACGATCAAATTAAATAATTATTGCAAGCATTACTAAAAGTAATGATTTATTAATTATAACCTAATTTGCCAAGGTTATTGTTATTATTATTATTGTTGTTGTTTAACGGTTAAGCAAAAAATAAACAATAAGCAAACATGCATTATGTGTTCATATACGCTTAATATATATCATCATTGTATTAATTAGAATCATAAATCATAATAATATTAATTCAATATGTTCGCAAAAATAATTATTTGGAAAATTTGCCATATTTAATAAAAACATAAATTTTTCAAAATATTTTATTGATAAAAAAATGATTGATGTACAGGGAGGAGGCGAATTTTCTATCGTTAAATGGATTTACAACAGAAACTTTCCGATATATGCAATATGACATACATATATACGGGAACTCATCATTTTCAAAATTTTCTATTTTCATCGAAACAAATGTAGAATATTTTGAATCGCTTTTTTTGTTATTATTAAAAAGATAAGAAAAGGAAATGGAAGATGAAAATTGAGAGAATTTTATTTTAAATCAAAAAAAGGGAAAGAAAAACGGTCAGGTCAATCCGGAAAATCCTTGATGAATGATGACTAATCTCAAATGTTTGTTACTTAAGAATTTTGATTTCAACTATCAAATTTTAAATGATTTCTGATAATAGGAAATCATATGTGAGAAGCATAAGAAATATGCATTCCCTTGCTATTTTCTATTCGTTTTCAAATCGAAATTCATATATTCCATTTGAATATATGCAAAAAGATGAGAGAAACATTTTAGGAATTTATATTTTTTGAAATGAATTCTTTTATTTAACAAAATACGGCAAAGTTTCTCCAAAAGCATAAATTTCAAGAAGATTATGTTATCTGTGGAAATATCGAAATTTTTGTAAAATTTTAATTTTCTTAATTAATAAAAGCAAAAGAAATTTGCATTCATTACTATTATTTTCCTTATCAAATGCTATAAAGCAAGCAAAAGTTTTTAATTTAATTAAAAAAGAGAAAGGAAGAATGGCTTAGTAAACATTCAATTAAAAATTTACCCTTCTCGTATGTTTACCCATAAAAGTCTTTAATATATTTTTGAATATTTGAATCAAATAATTGATAATAATAGTGATAATGTTGATAATAATAGAAATAATTAATAATTATTACTGATAGCAATAAAAAGTGATTAATAGTATTTAATAATTATTATTGACAATAATTAATAAAATAAGCAAGTAAAAAAAGTGCCAGAATGAAAGAGTTTCTGGCTAGCAGTTTATGAATAAATGTAATATTGATAATGATAACAGCTAGTAAAGGAAATAGTCCAAATGATGCGATATGTGATATCCACGCTTCTAAATTGTGTAGTTCACGCGAAATACTGATGTGACAATTGCGCATTTTAGCAGCAGGATGAGAAAAAGAAAAGATAGTAAAAGAACATAAAAAAAGAGCAAGTATAGAGGAAATTATATGCAGCTATTTGCAATATCTTAATTAGTACCATTTTTTTCCCATAATTAAAATAGGAAAGATAAGAATTAGGAAGATCAAAAATTTTTTGCTTTTACAATAAGAAATAAAAAGTGAAGAAATTTGATGGAAAAAAAGAACGATCAATATTTGCCATCTTATTATTATATTTAATTATCGGTTTGTTGTTGGGGAGCATCATGAACCTGCTGCTGTTGCTCAAATGTCGCACCCTTGCCAACTTCACTCAACGATAATGAACCATCTTCATCATCGTTCTGTTTGATACCCTTACCGGGATCATTTCCTCCCCCCTCATTGTCTTTGGCAGTATGAGCGGAGATTATATCGTCATCATTTCGTTCGTTATGATATGATTTGCTGCTTCCGGTGGTTCCTGTTATTGTTACTGTACCAGAAGTACGATTTCCGCCACCATACATATAATTACTTTCAGTTCGATCTGCAAATTTATTAATCATCTCGAAAATAATAATGCTAAAATTTATCCTTTTTGAATTTATGACATTAAAGATTCATCATTTTTTTATTTACTTATCATCATTTAATAGTAATTAAATAATTAATTTCATTTTAAACCAAAAAAAAAACAATATATTTTAATCTAAAAAAGTAAAAAACAATCAAACAAACCAGAATGTTTCAAAATAATTTTTGAATCATCCGTAACATTTGGATCAAAACTTGATGAATCAATGGTGAAAGATGGTGTACCAAAATATGTATTATACGAATTTATTGTTCTACTAAAATAGAATCAATAATAGTCCGATTATTTAATTTGATTTATAAAACTAACATTTAAAAAACAAATAATAATTATATATATAATATGCGTTAATTGATGTCTTTTTTTCTTCATCTTATCAATCGATTGATTTCTCTTTCAAATTATCAAATTATATGATGTAAAGTAATTAAAAAGAAGTTACGAATGGATACAACAATAAAATAATTAACTTACTCATATAAATCATATCCATCTGCACTACCCGAAAAGCTTATATTCAATCGATTCACTTCGCCACTTAATATTTTGTCACTAATTTCACGACGTCTACGACGTTCGCTATTCAACTGATCACGCATAATGTTCAGTTGATTTTCCAACTGATTAATTCGACTCTTCAGTGAACGTTCACGATTTTCAATTATTCGCTCGATCTAATATTTGCAAAATAAAATAAAATCCAATTAAGGAAAAGAATATAATAACTTTAATTAAGTTCTGAAATTTTATTACAAAAATTCCAAATTTCTCTCTCCGATAAAATTCATCATATTACCTAATATTATAACTAAAGGTTCGAGAATATTACAGATAAATAATAAACAGAATTATTGAGGTAAAAGTAGCATGAATTATAATATATCACTCCGTTTTAAAGAAAAAATTTTTCCGGAAGAAAACGAAAAGAAAAATGAGGACTGCTACACAACCTGTAACTTTTCCGTTCTCATATTTTGCACGAATTTGTCGTGTTCTTCATGTTGCTTATTGGTAAGTTGTATCAGGCGGTTGCCATTTTCTAATTCAAGTTGCGCAATTTGTTGTTGCAATTGTGCGCAATTACGATGCAATTCCTTGAACAAAAAGTGCAACAAAATAAACACAAGAATATGAAAAATTAATCCCAAAATTTGAATTGAAATCGTAAATTAAGAAAAATCTAAATCTCTTTGATTACTGCTTATTTTTGAACAGTATTCATTTTTATATCTAAAATAGGCCAATTAGCTAAAATTTTATTGAATTAACATAATTATATAACAAAAAAGAAAATGAACATTTCAAACTTTTTCAAAATTTAAAAATTTCCTCAAATTCTAAAATATTTTTTATATTCAGTATCTAAATTGTTTTCAGCATCAATTACATATTGCTTATTGAAAAATTCAATTAGAAAGAAGATAGGGAAAAGAAATACCAAACCTTATTTTCACGTTCCAATGCGTTCAAAGAATTTTCAATTGCTTCACGTTGTAATGATGTTTCATGAAGAATATTTTCGGCTCTTCGTTTTTCCTCATCAAGCTATAAATAATTTAAATAAAAATTTTTAAAAATTCAAAAATCCCTTATAAATTTAAAAATGAATGAAATTTACAACTAACAAGTTCGATACGTTTCATTAACGATAGGCGGATTTTCTCAATTTCCTCATATTTGTCGCTAATGTTCTTCTTTTCTGCTTCCACTCGTGCTAAATGTCGTCGTACATCACGGAGATCATTTTGTAACGCATTGCGCTCATCTAACACTGATGATAATTGTTGGCGAATTTCGGTTTCAGTTATTCGTTGTTGTGATACTGTCTGAATATTATTTATAATTAGTGAAACTGAGAATTGAAAGATCACTTTACGGAAATGAAATTCCGACAGAATTATCTTAATTACTTTGATAGTAATACTCCGTGTCAAATTAAAAATTTATTGAAAAATTAGAAAAAAATTTAAACAATCTTTGCCTTTTCCAAATTATGCAGTCTATTTGCAAGACGTTCTTTGTCATTTTCAGCATCAATTAAATGTCGCTGAAGATCTGATATGCGATTTCTGTTATCAGTAAAGCGTTGCTTCATATCACGCAGTTCGGAACGTACTATCAGTAGCTCATTCTCAATTTGTTGTTTTCGATTATTTGCATTTGACAAATCATTCTGAGCACTTCCAAGCTAAAAAGAAATTCTTTTTCTCGCAATTTTAACATCATCCTACATCATCCAGAATCTTTGAAACCAGAATCTTTGAATCTTTGAAAAGTTTTACATCATCTAGAATCTTTGAAACTTATGTCAATAAAATAAAATTTTTCTGAAAAAGAGCTCGCTTCTGATAAAATTTGCAATGAATTTTTGGTTTTTGTTTTCTGATTAAATGTCTCATCGATGTTATAATCAGATTAGCAGCTAAATATATGGAAAATTTTAGGAAGTTTCAGTAATTTTAATGAAATAAGTAAAAACTACCTGTTCTTTCAAAATTTGATTATCACTGATAACACGTGAATTCTGTTCAATGCTTCGTCGAAGTTCTGCTTCATTTGCTGATGCTTTGAGCAAATCCTTTTTCAAACGGTCGTTGTCTTCCCTCATATCACTATGTTTACTTTCGATTTGCTGCAGTCGACTGGTAAGCTCGCGTACTTCTTCACTGAGAGACTGAAAAATCGAATAAATAACACGTAAGTATTTATATTCAAAAGTTTGGAATATTTATTTAAATACTTATTTCTGAAAAATTATTTGTAGCAAAGAGGTAGTAGATAAAGGCTAATCTTTTCTTTTATAAGTAATAGCGTGTGAGGAATAAAAAAAGTAATTTTGCACAAGCTGCATAAATTTAGATTAAAATAAGTATGCCATTCAATAATATTGAAAATTTTTAGGTTAAGGTCAAAAATGAATGTGAAATATAAAGTGAGGAAAAAATAGTGCAGCATGCTCAACAACTAATAATTTTACTCATAAATTTTAAATCAAAAATTAATTGATAGGATCAGGGCAGCCCATCATTTATTCCGATCATATCCCAAAAATTCATGAAATACATCTGATCGATTTATTATTACATAAATCATCGAATCATTTCGATTCAATCACTCATTTTTTTTTAATGAACGGAAATTTTTGAAAATCTTAAGAAAAAAAGGAAAAATAAACATACATTTCGTTCAGTTTCTAAAGTCCCTATCGATAAACGAGTTTGTTGTGATTCACTTTCCTGATCTTTTAATTTGCTTTCCAAATAAAACTTATGCGCATACCATTGTTCTTCATTATCACGAAGTACTCCTAAATCACCTTGTGCTCTTTCTAAATCCTTACGCAAATTTCGAACAAGTTCCTGAAATTTTGGAAAAAAACGGAATAAAATTTAAGCATTCGTTTAATTTATTTCAATTTCTCTTTTCTCTCTCTCTCTCTTTCCTTCTCTTTCCCTTTTTGTATGTTTTCAAAAAAGAATTATCCTTATTTTCTTGTTTTTCTCTTTTTTGTTTTATTCTTCATTTGCAAAAATAATTTTTTATTCGAAATTCATACATTGAGTTGACGTAATTGCGCCTCTTTTCCACGTGCTTCCATTTCAAATTTAGCTATTTTCAATTTCATATGCCGTCTTTCTTCATCACGCTGTTTGAGCGCTTCCTCTTGAGAGCGCAGAAGTTGCTTGGCTGATGTTAAGCGCATTTCCAACGAACGCCTATCTGGAACTATTTGTGACTTGTAATATAACTAATAATTCCATAAATTAATTGATCTTTTCGAAAAAACAAAGGGAGAAAATACCTAAGTAAGACCAATCCTAATATATTGTTTGAAAGAAAGCGATGATTTTGAATTTTATTCGAGTATGTTAAACAATTCAATATAATGAACAAGAGTTAATTGATTTAATTAAGCTTAAATTTGCATTTACAAATACAATAAGTAAATTAATGATTGCGTATGTTTTACTAGTAATTAATTAACCAAGATTATGGTATTTCTTACATTACCTTCTTCAGCATCCACTAGCTGATCTTCGACATTTTTAAAGATCGTTTCCTGTTTGTTAATTTTAATATACGAATCAAGACCCTTCTTTTTTATTCGATCAAGCGCTTCGCGATATTCATTCTGGAATGATTTCTGGAATTATTTTTCTAATTTGAGATAATATAGGATTATTTAGATCTCTCTAAAGTGAATTTCCATTCTCAGATATATGTTTTCATTCGCAGTTTTATAAATTTGCAAAAATTTTTGTTCATATGAATAATAAATCAAATTTCAACTTATCAGTAAAATACTATATCTAAGGAATGAATTGAAATTTGAAACTCACCCGTTCCAATTCAAGTTTTTCGATACGTCCAATTAGCTTTTGTAAATTTGCATCAAGTTCGCTAATATCAAATTTCTCCTTTCTTTTTTCTAATAAAGTAATAAACAATAAATTCTAACAATATGGTATAAAAATAATGAAAATTTAAACTTCATTAATTTGAGAATTTTGTTCAATGATAAAATTTAAAATTGATTCACTTGTTGAAATTTTTATTACATAGTCAACTGGAGTTAATTTATTTGCTCAAAATAAAATAAACGATTAAAAAGTAATGAAATCAAACAAAATTCGAATTGGTTAATTGATTAATGACAATTAATGTTAACAACTAATTAATGTTAACAATTAATGTTAACAGCTTACCATCAGGTGATTTATGTACTTGCTGTATCGTTTCCTTGCCTTCTTCAATAGATTCATCCTTTAATTTTAATCATAATTAATTTCAATTTCTCAGCAAATCTTTTTCTGAAAAAACATTAAAGTTCAAACTTAAAATTCTCAATTATTTAATTAAATCAACTGACAACATCGATCAAAAATCGATTTATCACAGTTGTACGGTCGATGATCGAATGAAGCCGACGCAATGCATCATGTAACATTCCGCGTTCATTTTCTACAGTTGCATAATTTTGTTGCAGAGTTATAAGATATTGTTCCGTATTATCTAATCGAGACTGAAAAAAGGAAATCCATTTTAATCTCTAAATTATAATTTTGAATAGAAAAAGTATTAGGAGAAAAAAGTAAGCAGATGAAGGATAAAAATGTTAGAAGAAAGTCTTAAATTCGTAAAAACAAAAATACCTTAAATGAATGGCAACAATTATCCGGATAAGTAATACAGCAACAATTATCACGAATAAATAACAAAGTTTCGTCAAATTTTATTCGTAATTTTACAAATTCTTACAGTTAAAATTTAACAAATTAACAAACTTATTAAAAAGTGAAAACTAATCATTTTCGTGCAGAATGTTATTCGCTATTATCATTATTATATCTAATAATTATAATAAATCATTAAGAAAGAAATCGATATAATTTAAAGAATCGATAATAATCATAAATCATTATTGATTAATATAATTCAAACGATTAAATAAATTTATTCGTTTTTGAATATTTCTAAACATTAATTAAATGTATCACATTATTAAATCAATTATTTAAATTTGCCGCAAGCTTTCTTAGAAGTTTTAATTTTATAATCTGACTTTTTGCCTTCTAATTTGCTTTCGCCATTATCACTAAATCATAATCGCATTCTACGGTTTATGGCAGAAATGATTTTAAGGATTTCACATACTTACTTGTAAATCATTGATTTCATACTTGCGAGCTTCCAATTCTTGTACAGCATTAACGCGACCATCTTCTGCAGTTCGATGAGCGCTTATGAGATCATTCATTGCCGCCTGATAGTCATCCGTCTTACGAAGAAATTGTCCGCGCAGAAATTGTACTTCATGTTGTAATTTTTCGATTTCACTTCGAAGCGTATTCCGATCTCCTTCGCTAGCTAATAGCTGTAGAAATTATTGTGATAAAATCAAAAAATTATTGATATTTATGCATTTTGCGAATATTTAACTTTCACTTTTAAAAAATGTAAAATTTTCAAAAATAACCAGAATAATTAAGACGATAATTATTTAATTATTAATTAAGACGATAAAAAATAATTAAGACGATAATTAAGACGATTAGATAATTAGCATAATATGTTGGTAGATTAAAAGGATGAGGAAATTTTTCAGGTCCTTAGAAAATATACGCCAACATTTCTGAAAACTTGATAAGTAAAAGGATATATTAAAGACCTTATCGCCTGTATCACGAAGTTCGCGACGTGACTGATTCAATCGTAATTCCAAGTTTTGAGTTGTCTGTGTGAGATTTTCCACTTGCTTTACTTTTTCACGATATGAATTTTGTAGGCGTTCATGCTGAAAGATTAAAAATGTAAAATTATAGATAAATTTAGGCATTTCATTTATTAAATTACCGATCAGCATTAATATAATTTAATGAAATGTAAAGAATTAATATTTTTTCAATTAAAATCTGAAAATATGAATTGATAAAATTGAATATAATATTAAATTTTACTTCAGAACGAAGTTTTTCAAGAGCATCAGAATGTTTTTTAGCATTTTCAATTGATCGCTGAAGTTTCTGTTGCAAACGATCCATTTCAATTTCATTTGATTGTTTGGTGCTCTGAAAAAAAATAATTTTAATTATTGAGAATCGATTCAGTTAAATGAAAATTTTCAAACATTTATAAAATATGCCAGGATTTTTCTTTTTCAGTAATTAAAATTTACATAGATTGAATTAAATTTAGTGGTACTACATTGCAATAATTAGTGACAATTAATGATATATAACCTTAAGCATCTCATTTTCATCAAGCAATGAATCCATATCACTTTTTATTTTGTTAAGTTCGGTTTGAAGCGAGGCATATTGTTCTTCCTGTAGATGAATCCGTTCTCGAGCAGTATCTAATTCAGTTTCTAAATTTGCTACATTTCCCTTTGCATCTTTAATTTCACCTTCCAGACGACCAATTTCACTCGTTGCTAAAACAAAATTGAATTTAATTTTTCTTTTTTAATATTGCTAATTAATAATTTTAACAATACTTTCTTTGTAATTTAATAAATTTAATCCTAATCTAAATAAAACATTCAATGAAAGATCTTTCCCAGTCGAATGTTCGACCTTTCTGTGGAAAGCTAAAATGTAAGCTAAAAGTATTAATCGCTTTGACCATTTTGACTTGACAGTGTTTTCTGGATCAAGAAAAGTTCTAATTGATACTAAGTCATAACAGTATTTAACAATATTTTACTTATTTGTTAGTCAATCAGTTATGCTACAACTTATTTACTTTGTCGTCGATGCCAAAATAGCATGTAAAAGTTGAATTTTTCTTGAACAATTTTTCAAAATTTTCAATATTCAAAATAAAATTTCTCGTTTTTTACGAAAAAAAAGGCTTACAATCGCGAATTTTATCCTGTTGATCGGTGATAATATTATTCAATGAATTGATCTTATCTTCTGCAGTAGTAAGTTGCGATTTCATTTCGGTATTGGTTGAAGTAAGCAATTTAATTTCATTACGTGCTGCTTGTAAATCGGTATTATAACGATTAATTTCCTATAAATTAAACGAAATTTAAGACCATATGCAATTATAACAAATCTAAGCAATATCAAACATTCGTTTATTCTTTCTTTAAGATGAAAATCAAATCAATTTCTAAATTCATATTTTTTTTTTAAATTAAATAAGCTTCTAAATCATAATTAACAAAAAAGGATGGTACAATTAAAATTATTTAAATTTCAAATCTTTAAATCAAGAAACTCTAGATACTTTTTCAGCATCACGTCGTGCAATTGATAATTCATTACGTAAATGATCCAATTCCATATTTAATGCATCAAATTTTTCCTTCCAATCGTTATTCTCACGTTCCAGGATACTATCACGATTTTTTAAATTAGCCAATGTTCGTTCAGCATTACTTAATTTAATGTTTAATTCTTCCACCAAAGCATCCATTGAATGAATCTTCTAAATTAATCCTTGTTAATTTTTAGCAAAAATATTGAATTTTAATTATTTCTTTTCATTGAAAAAATCATATACAAGCAAATTGCTATAATTAAGAAACAAGCAAAAACATTGTTTGGTTCAGTGAAAAAATAAGTACTTGGAAAATTAAGCAATAGAAATAAAATATATCATTTTAATATTTAAATCAAATATTTCAATAACGGGTGTAAATTGTAGTCATCCTTCATTTACATAAACATATTCGAAATTCTAATGAATGTATCACTAAATTAAAAAAGGAACAATTCACGTAGTTAATAAAATTATCGTTAACTGAATGAATAATTTCAGCAAAAAGTGTGAAAGAAAAGAAATTAAGATAATATTGAAAAACAAAAAAATTCATTTAGAAAAAGCTTTTTTGTCCTTCCATTTATCATTTATTTCTCTTTATGTTTTACCTACAAAAACTTCCGCACATCACATTTATTTACCCCGATTGTTTTAGTTAATTACTTATTTACAATACCTTTTGATGGTTATCTTTTTCCTCATCCAATTCGATATGATATCTTTCTTGCATTATTGCTGTTTCTTTCTGAACCTTTTCAATTTCAGTTTGTAATTTATGCTTTAGGTCAGCGATCTCAGCATTCAATTGATCAGTATATTGATCTTTCTCATTAACTTCGTCTTGCAAAGCGACGATACGTTTTTCCAAATCATCCTAAAAATTATTCCAATTATTATACAATTCACCTAAAAAGCTTTTTACAGTAGAAATATAGAAATATATATATCCCATTCAAAAACTTATCAAGTTTTAAGTTTCATCAAATTTTATTTAGAACACCCAAAAACTAACTTTATCAGTTTCAAGTTTCTCCAATTCAGTCTTGTATCTATTAATCTCATAGACTTCCGTTTCATGCTTTATAAGAATCTTTTCATTTTTGCTCTCTGAAAGATAGTAATATATAAATACATGCAAAATAAGTATACATAATTTAAAATTATGGGATAAGAGAGTAGATTTAATGCATTTAGTAATGTTAGCAAAACAACAGTTTTCGAAATTCTAAAAAAATTTTTAGTTATAGTAAAATAAAAATGATATTAAGCAAATAATATCTATCAAAATATTTCGACAATTTTTTAACACGTTTTATCTGATAATAGAAATACTACAAGTAATAATATAGTAATAGTACTTTATAATCATTTTTTGAATATTAGATTTCTTATTAAATGATAATCAATTTCTAAAGTGTAATTTAATGCTATCATACCATGTGATTTATCTAAGTTTGATCTGATAGTTTCGTCTAATTTCACCTTGAAATTTGCATCCATTTTTGCCAAACGATCTATGAAAAAAATTTAAATTATTTGACCTAATTGTTTAACATTTTGAAAAAATTGTTCCTTTATTTCATAAAATATGATAAAATTATAATTTGTATATCACGTATGATCAGTATAATCTAAATGTTATTAGAATTCAATCATATATCCAATTAACCATATTTGACTTATTTACCACAATCCCGATTTGATAAATTTTTTATCATTTAATTTTCTATCGTTATCATTTCCGTCAATACAAACCATAATATAACATTTTCTGCAACACAAATTGAAATGATACTTATCTTTTGTGAACTCTCGAAAACGATTAACGATTAATTTCAGAATCTGTACTACCTTCTTTAAAGTTGATAAGATTATTTATTCTTTGTGAACTCTCAAGAATGATTAATTTAAGCAATGAGGTAGGAAAGAAAAAAAAGAACCATTTAATGCAACGATCTCAGTTTGAGCTTCTTCAAGTTCCTTTTTAAGAAGATGATTACGATTTGTTTCTTGTTTTAAGTCCTCACGTGCTATACGTTCATGATCTTCCAATTCTTTATTATCTTTCCTAATACGTTCCGTTTCTTGCTCCAATTTATAGATTCTTTCATTAATTAACTTGAATTCCGTATCACTTTTTTGTTTCGCACTGTAATATTTGCATTTCATTATTTACCTACAACTTTTTTCACGTCACATAACATGTAAATTTTATAGAAAAATACAACATTGACGTATATATTACTTCCGAAAATGACGCTGATGACAAACCCGCTAAGATCATTCTTATCCTGTTGTAGGCGATTATTCATTTCGGATAATTTTTCGATTTCTTTTTTCGCAGCAATCAAAGAATTCTCCGTGCTGGTTAGTTTGGCTTGATTTGTTTTCAATTGCGTATCAAAATCATCATTTTGACGTCGAATAACTGTCGATTCAGTTATATATTCGTTGATTTGCTTTTTGAAATTATTGATTTCATCCAAATGACCTTAAAATAAAATTAAAATCAGCAAATAAAAAAAATGCTTAATTCAAATTTTCTATTGATATTTCTCGAAGGAGAAGGGAAGTTGCATTTTGTCGGAAGATTATTAAAAAAATCTAATTTGGGAAATGTTAACAATTCCATTCTCCATCCATTTTCTAAAATGAAATAATTCCTCGCCATATTTTACTAATTTTTGCAAAATGCTAATTTAATATTAAATTTAAAGCCAATGCATTAATGAATGTAAAATGAAAATGAGTTAAATGAAGTTTTAAAAAATTAGAAAAAAATAGCAATTACAATTTATAGTTAGCACAGATAATATTCACTAGTTTCAAGAATATTAAATTAATTAATTCCAGTCATTTTCAGAGAATAATCTCACCGTCTTAAACAAATTAGCAAATTAAGTAATCGAATTGCGATTAAATAGGTCGATTAAACAATCGAAAAATATTTCATAATATAATATTTTGAATGTATCTGAATTACTGTTTTTTAAAATACTTCACGTTATATGATCATTAATTATTCCAGTATAGAATTCTGAATCGTCTAGTCTTCAATTTATTTTACTGATTTGCATCTGTTGGTATTTTTTCCTAATTCCAGTGAAAATATGCTAATGTCAATATGATCCACAAGCATTCAATTATTATATGCTCTTACTTTTCTAAAATATAAATTCTCTTTAATTTTTCAGCTAACAATAATCAGAAATTGGAACTCGATAATAATTAAAAACATTGATAATCAATAACAAACGTTGGTTAAGCTTTTCGGCATCATCACGCGCTTTTGCTTCAATATTCAGCTTATTTTCTAAATCATCAAGCGCTTTCGTCAGCGCATCCTTTTGCTTTCTATAATAAATTTTTGTCATATATAATAAGCACTATTTTTCATTGGTAATAAATAGTTATGTTTATTATTAATCAATAATTCTTGTATGTACATCGATGACATAAGATTAATTCAAATTTCATTAGGCAAAATTCATCATTTCCTAATTACTTTTTCTGTTTACCGCTATCTCTCATGTCTATATTAGTAACCGTAATATTAACAAATAGAATTTTAAAACGCTAAAATTTGAATCTTGAAATTTTCGGATTGAACGTCTTTTTTCATCAATTAAATGAATAATATATGATGAACTTACATAATTTCATCCCGTTGCTGCTTGATTTCTTTCACCGTTAATTCAATAGCTACCGTGTTCTTGTTGGCACTATCGTAATTTGTTCTCAAATTGTCGAATTCACTGGTCACTGTATCGAACCGTACACGTTGTTCCTCTAATTCATTAGCCAAACGTTGACGTATATTCTCCAAATTTTTCAATGCATTATCTGCAAAAGCAAATTATTTCATTCTGTCCGGAAATTTCTCCGAAATTATTGGAATCAACGTAGAAAACTCAACAAAGATTGTCCAGCAAAAATAATTTAAGAACAAATTAGATTATTATGCGATTAATGACTTGATTAAAATGCTAATTCTTAGTTTCAAATAATTAATGAATACTGAACATGGAAAAATATCTGATTAGGAATTTAATTTCAGTACCTTTTTTCTCCAATTTCTTAACAATATTATTGTATTCTTTTTCAATATCTTGAATTCGATTTTTCATGCCATCAGTTTCATCTTTTAACCTTCTGTTTTCTTCCAGGAGCATTTCAATACGACCGGTAAGTTCAGATATGCTATCAATAATTAATTTTAAACATTAATAAATTATAAAAATGAAATTCATCAACCTAATTTAATGCATAATCAATACCAATAGGAAAATCTTAAACCTTCAAATTAAACTTGATTAATTTTCTAAAAAGTAACCGTAGTTTAGCATCCTCGTCGATTTTTCGGATACGATCATCTGCATCTTCAGCAGCTCTTCGTTCTACGTCTAATAGAGTGTTGTTAAATTGCCTGAAAATTAATCAAAATCTGCTAATAATTAATATTTTCCAAAATGTTTCCGAATGAAATAATAACTCATCTATTCATATCTTAGAAAAAGAAACACTTGCTCTCTCATTTTCCGAATTTCATCTTCAAGGTGACGACGTGCGCCTTCGACGGATAATTTTTCCTGTTCAAGATTTTTTAAACGATCTTCCAGATTTGTCACTGTGTGATTCGCATCATCCAATTCTCTTTCGCTATATGAAAAATGAACGATAAATTGAGATTATTCAAATTTTCCTCAATTAAAAAAATTTCTTTCTGTAACCAAACTGTTACCAAATTTATATAAAAATACAACTAAAAGTATAATTTATAATTCTTCAAATTTTTTGTTCATTTTTACCGATTCATTAGTGCTCGATTTGCGTCAGCTATTTGCTTTTCCAGACGATGACGGATTTCTTCAAGTGAATCACATTTGGTTGTAAGTTCACCAACCTAAATTATTTTAGTGAATTATTTTAAAATTATCTTTTTTTTAAAATTTTTGCGAATGATCATAGATAATTGTTTATATTTTTTTTCACAAATAATCTTTCAATTATACTCCTCTCAACCTTTTTTTATAAAAAATTCGTACCTGAACTTCAGCACTTTTCAATTTACGTTGCAATACATTATTATCATTGATACGACTGTTTAAGACGTAACGAACGCTACGAACAACTTCAGGTGGTGGAACATAACCTTTTGCTGTAACCAAAAAAAAATTTCATACCTTCTTCATGTCATAATTCTCATAACTTTCATACCTTATTTCATATCATTCATTCTTTATGGTTTTTTTATTCATTCTTCATTATTTCCTATATTTCTATTTAAAACTCTAATGTTTGAAACGAAGAAGTACGGTTAACCTCATTACTTTTAAGGGAAGAAGAATCTTCAAAAAGTAGAACGGTAGGATAAGATTTTAAAATATTAAATTTAAACTATGAAAAAATACATACAAAAAAGTTGAAAAGAAAAGCAGATATTTTATACTTGCAATCACAAAAGAAAAACTTATCAAATAAATTTTTAAGTAAGAAATGAAAAATTTAGTAATAATAAAGGACGATGATAAAAGAAGTTGAAAAGAGATGAAAAAGATAGTTAATGAAGTAAAAATATCACAAACAAACCTGGTGATGATGATCTTGTTTTTTTTTTACTATCAATTTCATAATCATATGCCAGATCATATAATTTACGAAGAGCATTCTGAAACGAACCAATCAATGAACTATAATTTATGCCAAACTATCGATTGTTTATATAAAAATCTCAACATTAGGCATCACATTTATCTTGCATAATAAAATATTTTCTTGCATGAAAAAATTAAAATTGAAATAAAGTAATTTAAGTTAAATTTAAATGTAATCAGTTGATCTCGTAGATGGCAATCGTTTCTTTGGGCATTTATTCGCTATATCGTATGTTAAAAATTATTTGATCGTGTTTTTTCGTTTAACACTTACGTAAATTTGTCAATATAGTAACTAATTCAAATATGGAAAAGTTTTTGCATAAGGAAAACAATGATTCATGTGCAAATTTTTTAAATAATTGAATTATAAGGATGTAGCGTGAATTAGTCGATTGATTGACTTATTGTCCTGTTACTGTATCATGCTGATCGCAAACTGAATATGATCGATAGAACAAATTTTTTAGAAGAAGCTTACAATGTGTATTTAAACTATCAAATCAATTTTGATTTAATTCAATTATCAAATTGAGATTGCGTGAATGATGAATATTCAACAGGATCGAAAATGCTTCATTATGATTGAACAACTCAGTTGTTACTTTTCTACTCTGATCATATTAAATATTATTTCATTAATAAACTCTGTTCAAAAAGTTTAATATGCAAAATAAAATTTAGAAATGAAACTTTTTCAAAGAAAATACTCTAATCAAATCATTTTTTCTCATTATCTATTAATCTGATAACATAAAATTTCCACTTTTTTGTTGCTTAAAATCTAGAAATTTTATGCTTTTCTTTCCAGAAAATAAAACAAATAACTTTACTTCTATAGAAAGAAAATACCTGGCTCTCAGCAAGACGATCACGTGTACGTTTCAGATCACTTTCCAAAGCAACTAATTTATTATGACTTTCATCATCACGGCTCTCTAATTCGATGATTCGCTTTGCACTTTCCTCATATCTACAATTATTAGCAATTAAATCTTAATTATTTTTGGATTGAAAAATCCTCAGAATCGCGGACGAAAATAACAATATTAAGAAAAAAATTTTAAGTTAAATAATTATAGATTTTCAAGGAAATGTAATCAGAAATTTTCGGCTATCAAAATGATGGCATAAACAAACTTTCTCAAAAGCTCATCGTGCAGACCAGCATCTTCGGAACGAGCTAACCGAAGTTCAGTGATCAGTTCTGGTCCAATTACCGGAGCTGCTTGCTGTTGTGAATCGTGGAAACGTTTGACCGCTTCGATGAGTACAGTATCCTGGGTGATATCTACTCCACTTTCACTTGACAAATCCGACAATAATGTATGTGTACCACTCTGAATATTTGAGCATTACAATAAATTTATTAAATTTTTTTTCCTAATCCAAGTTCAAATATATTTAATCTAGCTTATTTAACCGGATCTGACTATGTCATTGCATTTGCTAAGTATTTCAAATTTGGGTAGCATCATCATATTTACCAAAGTAAATATATCGTCGTCAATTTCCTAAACTAATCCAAGTAATCTGAACGAATTTTTTGTTTGAACAAAAAAGAATTACCTCAACATTAAGTCCTCGGACTAGACCGCTTACATGCCGAATTACTTTGATGAATTCATTACGCTGATTTTCCAGGTCATGTTCCGTTTGTTCTCTGTATTCCGAGCATTGTTTACGTACTCGTTGTAACTCTGACCACAACTCCATCATCTTACGCTGTTCTTCGTTCAAATAACGTGTAAGATTCTGGAAATTTTTTTAGAAGACATATATATGTAAATGAATTATCATCATTATCAGCAAATGCTCATCACTATTACAGTGAACGTCCCTATATAATAATATTGTCATGTCAATAATTTTTACCCGTTCCCGTATTTGATAAACTCTTTCCTTGTCACGGATGCTAATACCAAACTGCTGACGTAAACGCTGAATCTCGCCTTGTAATTGATCATTTTGAAGACGTTCTTGTTGCAATTGCATATCCAAATCTTCCACTCTAAAATGTAGATCTCTGAGATGCTTGATAGAAAAAAGCCAGATCTTTGAACTTTCAATCTATGACAACCAATTAATCTTTTCATTAATTTCCATTTTATTTTACATTAATTATGATTAAGCGTCTTTTCATCTTTTTCATTCACATCGAAAACCGTTTAAATATAACAAACCTTCTACGTTCATCCTCTAATTGGTTTGCAAATTCTGCATCGCCAATTTCCCGCATTTTAAATTTTGAACTAAGCAACCATTCCTCATTTAGTTTTATATTTGCCAAATCACCCGAATCATTCAATTCACGCACCGCCAGTTTTCCTTCGATTTCCGCAAATCGTCGCCGATATTGCTCAATCTGAAACATTCTTCTTACCTCAAAAAGAATAAAATAAGAAAAAAACCTTGAGAAAAAAATGTTAAGAATTTTGAAAAAATTAAACAATTTATTCAAGGAGAGAAAAAAGTTTTGTGCTTCTCTAAATAATAAAAATCGAAGATATTTTCCATACAGTAAGAAAAAGAAAAATCGGATAAAAAAGTTTGAAGCAATGATAAATTTTATCACCATTCTGCAAAGTGTGATCTTACAAATGTGAATTTTATCACGACAATACGATCAGATGGAAGGTTAGTACCTTACGCTGCAGTGCAGCCATTATATCAGCATGTTCACGTTGTTGTTCGGTATTTGCATCGATACGTCTTTTGTAATTAATTAATTCATCTTTGGGATGATCATAAAGAGTTTTCGAAATTCCTTCTTCCGTGGTATCGTATCCGAGGCCAGCTGTATTCATCGAATCGATATATTCTATATTATCATTTATATTACCACCACTTCCTGTTATCCTAAAATTTTCGATCAATTTTTAATATTGTAACATTATTCATAAATGAACCAGTTCAAATCATAATCAGACCAGGTTTCATCATTTTTTAAGATAAAATCAAAATTGTGATTGCAATGTTTAGAAAAATAGCGGATGCTAAATTAGTATGATAAAGTAAATTCTAGTTTCGATGAAATCATTTAGAAGGGAAATAAAAGATATCTCATAGTTCTTTTTTCCTATTTAATGATAAAGAAGAAGGCAACGAATAAATCTTTTTCCTTTCGCTTAAACATTTCTTTCATTTCTATTCAAAATAATATAATATTAATTGATATATACATCTATCAACAATTAATAAAATGAAACAATATTTAAATAATTAATAATTTTCATGTTCGAAAAAAATCATTTCTTTTCGAAATATTAATTAATAAATTTGCCTATTCGATTGATCTTGAATTTGAATTAAATTCTACTTCTGAGAAATTCATTTAGGAAAGATGAAAAATAGACAATACCACATAGTCGTAATCATAGAAAAAAGAATGAAAAATAGCAACAACAACAACAACAACAATAATAATGCATTAAAGATCAGAACAAATTTTGAAAAAAGAATATTATGATAGTAAATAAACAAAATTAGTAGATTACAATGCTAAATAATAAACCAATCACTTATTATGGTAATAATTAATTATCTAAATAAATGGATAAGGCGTATCTTACGAACGCTATAATACCTGGAAAACTTCGACACTTTTTTTTTATTTAGCCTTGATATTATTACTTAATCAAACTTTTACCTTCCAATTCTTTATAAATTTAAAAACTAAAATTTTAAAAATAGCATCTTCCGAGAAAAATTAGAAATTCTCGACCTATTTAATCATTAAATATTAAATGAATTCCACTAACCTTGTATGAATTTTTCCAAAATTTCACATCATATTAAATTTTAAGAATAAATAGATCGGAAAATTAACATTCTTCTGACAATAATTCTATTATTAGATTTAATCAATTTTTTAATTACATTAATATAAACAAAAAGAAATGAATGGAAATTTTCGAAATGAGCATTTTTTCTAGGAAAAAAATAGGTTCATCATGATCTGAAAAGTTTTTGTATGATAAACAATAACTTACTCATATTTTATTTCGCTAGAAATTGTTTTTTCACTGCTACGTTGTCCCTTCGATGGAGTATTTTCCCTTTTTTGTTCCATTTCTTTTTTTAGCAGTTCAGCTGAAATTTCATTTTATAATCAAATTAATTAGTTCTAATCTTTTATTTGAAATTCGTAAATGTTACATAATGATAACACTTTCGAATAAATAACTCGCAATATTCACACCTAAATATAATACTCCTATTATCAGTAATAAAAATTATAATTAATAATAATAATAATCTCACATTGAAAAATTACTTTTCACTCCGAATAAGATTTACACTAAATAATGTCTTTTTAATAGAAAATTCTTACAAATTTGAAATATAAATTTTTCACGAATATAATAAATTTGTTGTAAATTTGAAATATAATTTTTTTTTAAACTAAAACATAAATATAAATAAATTTCATTTCGAGTGAAAGAGACGAATTGTATTATCATAATATATTTAATATATTTTAATATGATGTCTAATGTATGAAAATTAATTTAAAAAGGAATAAATGAATGAACGGACCGGACCGGAATGAATGAGAGACAACTGAATAATGAATTATTGACTGAGAACACTTTATGCTTTCGTACTACAAATAGAGTATGTTATTGACTATAAATCAATATGCAAATTTTGGGAAAAAAAAAGAACACGTATTATTATTGTAAGAATGTAAAAAGAGAGATAGAGAGAGGAAAAAAAAGATTTGTTAGATCAGATCAAATAATACCTTCCATGTATGCAAATTATCTCCATATATCAGTTAGATTACAACAAAATGAATTGATTGTGTATATTTGAGTGAATGATTGCAAAAGAAGTTCGGAAATTGGAAATTTTTTAACTGTCAAAATTTCTAAGTTATTTAATTGGAATAATATCTCCTTATCTATTTCAAAAGCTTTAATTCATTGGAAATTTTTTTAATTGTTAAAGTCAAAATAAATGTTTTGAAGGAATCAAATGATGTAATAATTATAAGAGTTGTAATACTAATATTATTACTATACTATATAATTATAATAATATAAAATGAAAAATCGGGAGTATAAAATTAAAACAACAAGTGAAAGACGAAGTTTATTTCAAAAATGTCTTCTTTAAAGGAAAGTTAAATGATACATCAATTAAGGGGAAATATCAATTAAAATTAATAATGAGAAATAAAAACTGTACGATAATTAATAATGATTCATTCAATTCTTGATATCTGATAAATACATTATCTAAGATGAATTAGCCCAAATTATCTTTTTTTTTGGTCAAATTAACTAACATATTTACCTGTAAAAATATTTGTGCTTCTTTTTCCATTTTCTTCAAACTGTATTTCGTGAATTTTTCTGAACTTTTCTGTTTACTTTCTTTTCATAAAATTTCAAAACAAAAGAAAGAAAGAACGAAAGAAAATCAACTTCATAACAATAAAATGGATAGTTATGCCAAAATGTAAATTCTATCTGAATGTTTAATTGAATTTGAAACGATGAAATAAATGTTTATTTACATGATAGAAAAAGATTAGAAGAGGCGGGGAAGAGAAGAGCGGGGGAGAATGGAAAAAAACACCGCGGTAGAAGAGAAGAGGAGAAAGAGAAGAGAAACAAAACTGCTGGTAGAAAATTGAATAGATTATATAAACAAAAATGAAAGAACAATTGGATTAAAAGTTAAAATGAGGGATTTTCAAATAAAATGATAATATATTTTGGAAAATTTCCACGGTAGTAATATATCATTCATTGTAAATTTTCCTTAGTAAAAAAAAGGAAAAGGAAAGGAATGAAAATTGCAAAAAATTAAAAAATGAAATAAAATGGAATTTCTTAATGAAAATGATTTGTGCCATACGATGGAACAACAAATAATGTTAGTTGAGATTTTTCAAGAAAATAACAACATTGAATAAGTAAATTAAAAAAAATTTTTTTAAAATTTCTTTGCGATAAAACAATAATTTAATTGATGAGACTATTGATAGAAACTGATTTCTTTTTCATTTTCTCTTTTACGTATCAAAAAATCTTTCACCGATGCTTTGTGGCACGTAAGATATTTTATGGCACGTAAGATATTTTGTGGCACGTAAGATATTTTATGGCACGTAAGATATTTTATGGCACGTAAGATATTTTATGGCACGTAAGATATTTTACGGCACGTAAGATATTTTATGGCACGTAAGATATTTTACGGCACGTAAGATATTTTATGGCACGTA